GAGAGCAGACACCGCGATGGCAAGCAGCGCAGCAAAGTAAATACGTCCCCATGGATATGGAAAGGAAATGCTCCCAGCTTGGTGAGATGAGCCAACTCCCTGAGGGGTGAAGGATCAGCACAGCGAGGACAAGGGAAGCAGAAGCACAAGGCAGCCAGGGAGGGTGAGAGAGCAAACCCAGCTGTGCCCTCGGGTCACCCTGATGGATGCAGGGACCAAAACACACTCAAGTTTGCATTTCCATTCCCACCTCTGCCCCAGCCTGTCCCTGGTCCCAGGCAGAGACACACCAGGGAACCAGGGGCTGTGGAGGGAAGAGATCCACCTCTCTCTGCATTTTTTCCTTGTGTGGCTCAGTTTCCAGAGGGAATTCACCGTGCCAAGCATGCAGGCAGCTGCGAGGCAAAACAAAAAACAGCCACGGCAACCAAATCTGCAAAATGGCCAGAATCCCACAAGGGAATTGCAGGTTTAGTTGGGGCAGGATTAGGCTCATCCTGAAGGAAAAAAAACACAGCCTTAGAAAACTTTTTACTTCCTCAGACTTCAATACATGAAGAGCTGCTTAAGTAGCTTGGAGGCCTCCAGAATCTGGCAGCAATTAAGATTTTTAGTTAGAGCTTTGGGTTAAATATCTTTTTTAACTCATGTGTCTTATTTAGGACAAATTCCTGGCTCTCACCTGGCCGTATAGAATCATGTAAGGTTTGGGTTGGAAGGGAACTTAAAGATCATCTCATTTCACCTCCTGCCGTTCAGTGTGGTGTAGAAAACAAAAGAAAAGAAAAAAAGTCATTATTATTTGTGTCTTTCATGGCCCAAGCTGAAGCTCTGCCAGACAGGCTTCTTGTGTCCAGGTATGATCCTCCAAACAGCTGGATTTGGCATTTTTCTAGGCAAAACACTCCCTCAAGTTTTGCTGCTAAAAATAAACAGGATCATAAACTTTTATAACCACCCCCATAGTACTAAATTTGACACCTCAAGCAATGTAGGATGCTGGAAGTGCTCAGTGTTTTGTACCATGACGAGGGGGAAGAAGAACTTGAAATGCACTTTCTGTGTTATCCTTTCAGCTATATACTCAAAATAGTGGCATAAGTATTAACTCTGCTCATTAATTCCAATATCTACTGGATAAATTTTAGAAAATACTTAAAAAGTTGGTAAGCCCCCAACTTTGCAAACAGCAGGGAAAGAATTCAAGTGAATCAAAGTCCAAAACTAGAGACATTCAAAGTTTAATATTTACTTGAAGTAAATATTTCACCACTTTGGCCGTGAAGGCCAGGCCGTGACGGGATTGCTATGAGTGCTGCAATAAATGAGTAATGCCTTGGTTAACTCTCACAATTAACATATCATATATATATACATGTTAAGAGAAGTTTTATAGATTTATAGTTATGTTTTACCCCCCTTGCGTTGTTATCAGGGGGTGGCCTGGGACATTTGGGACACTCGGGAGAGTGTGATTGTTGCTATGGCAACAAGTGGCCTCCAATCGAGATTTAAGGAAATTATCTCCACCATTGGACAGCAAAGGAGTCAATGGGCAGAGCTTTGGGAGGGGCCACAGAGTTCAAAGCACGTGGCGGGAAAAAATCCTTTGCTCCCAGCCCTGTAATATTTTCTCTATTCAGTCTTCTGTTGTATTTTGATAAAGTTTTAATAAATCTTTTAAATTTTTGAAAGTGAGTATCATTTCTCACCGGGCCAAGCCGTGATGGGGATTCCAAGAGGGCCGTGCCGTGAGGGCCATGCCAGGTGAGGATCTGCCGTGAAGGAGAGCCATGCCCTGAGGGTGCTGCTGTGGGGGCTATGCTGTGAGCGCCAAGCCATGAGGGGACTGCCATGAGGGGGGTGCCGTGAGGAGGGTGCCGTGATGGTCAAGCCGTGAGGGCATCTGCCATGAGGGGGGTGCCGTGAGGAGGGTGCCGTGACGGTCAAGCCGTGAGGGCATCTGCCATGAAGGAGATGCGGTGAGAGCCATGCCCTGAGGGTGCTGCTGTGAGGGCTATGCTGTGAGCGCCAAGCCATGAGGAGACCGCCAAGAGGGCCAAGCCATGACCCCCCATGAGATGCCATGAGGGGTGTGCCGTGAAGGCCAAGAGAGCATTTGCCCTGAAGAGCGGGGGATGCCCCGTGAGCAGTGTCCCGCCATTTTGCGGTGCGGGCACGGGCGCACACGGCCCCGGGCCGCCCCCCGTGCCCCCAGCCCGGCGCGGGCAGCGCGGGGCCGCCGGCAGCGCCGGGGCAGCGGCAGCCACACACCCGAGCGAGCCGCGGCCCCTGCGTGCTTCCAGCGCGGCTCGGTGACTTACTGTGCTCCAGAGGGCATTCGAGCGCGAAAAGAAACTCCGGAACTACAACACCGAGCGAGCCCCGCAGGGGGAGGAGGGACCTGTGAGCAGTGTCTCGGCTGGGGCCTCCGAGTGGTGGAGTTTTCTTTAGCGCAGAAATCTCAAGTCTAGGGCTATGAGGCGGGTGGGGAAAGGGGGAGAGGCGGCCCAAAGACCTTAGGGATGCGTAGATTGTTTTTTCTTTACCCATCACCTCTGGAGCTCTGTGGTGGTGTGTGAGGGCTGTGCAAAGGTTTTGTCTCTACATCCCTTGAAATACCACATCCTTAGTTTGTCCCACGTTTGGACTTTTTGCTTTATGAAACCAAAGAGTATTGGGCAACGTTTAGTCTAATTTAGCATTACAGTTAAATGCTAAATTAGATTTAAATTAAATTTAGATGCTGGAAGAGCTCAGTGTTTTGTACCATGATGAGGGGGGAGAATTCCAGCATCCTACATTAATACTGTTAATAAAACAACATTTGATCCACAGTTTTCCTCGCTTCAAGAGCTGTAATGCGAAAATATCACTGTTCTTTGTAAACTACCTTAGGAAATAAGGTTTAATGTTATTTTTTTTGCATATTTAAGCACACCCTAGAACAGACTCCTGCTTGAAAGGGAAAGTCACTAGAATAAATGCTCTAAGTAGTACTGATGATTGTAGCAGGACTACTATTACTAATGTAATAATAATGTTTTACTAATGTTACTAACTGAACATTACCAGCAACAATCACTGGTCTTGACAAGATGAAAGTAAAATATTTAATTAATCTGAAAAGCATTTGACACTGAAACCAAATAAGACTTTAAGTAAAGAGAGTTTATTCAGCAAGCAGAGATGGAGAGAACAGTTATTTTCGCGGAGGGCTGTGGATCCTCATGTGTATAAGAAGGGACTTTTTGTAATTATCACATTTCTTTTGTTTGTAAGGAATCAGAGGGAAACATGCAGCACACACCAAAATCTTTCTCTACATTTTTGGGGCACTTTTCTTCATGTTTTTTGACATGCCTGGTTGAGAAAAGGCCATTTGCATCAGCTGATTCTAAATATATCTGAAACTGTTCAACTGAAACATTTTCAGTCTTTATTTTGATATCAAAAATTACATAGTTTTCTACCAGTAAATCTAACATATATTAATGTGGCCATGGCATGAACAGGTAAAAGAACTTCTTAAGTGTAACTACTTTATATTTTAAATGGAATAAATCAAGTGTGACAAAAAAGTAAGCAAATTGATCCAAGTCACTGATTCATTTTTTTCTCCAAAGTCAATATTAAGGCAGACCGGCAGGACATAGTGAAGAACGATGCTGCTTTTAAGGGGTCTTGCAAGTAATCATTAAACAATATTGACGGTGAAAATTTTTAGACCTCAGCAGTAATTAGAAGTTTTACTTGGGTTTTCATAGCGTTCCATTCTTAAGTTTGGATTTGAAGGGACCTTAAAGACCATTTAGTAATTATCATGAGCAAGGATGCCACTCACCAGATCAGGTTTGGAGGAATTTTAAATTTATTTCAGGTCATCTAACTCCCCAAAGTTACTACTACAGAAACTGTGTGGGGGGAGAGTCATCCAGCTGTAGGATCATTCGTTTTTACAGTCTGTTTGAACACCCATATAATTAAAATTTGATTTGATTAAGGCATCATGGGCAGCACTGAAGGGGTCCCCAGGGTGGCTGTACTCTGGACAAACTCATTTCGGTGCGTTCCATCACCGCCAGAAAAGCTCCGACTTTCCCAGGCGGGCAAAAGGCCCACTTTATTTATCCACCTCCCTTCGGTTTTCCCCCTTTGTTCCTTTAATTTTCGCGGCCCCGCTGCCAGCCCCCGGAGCACATGTGCGTGTCACTGCCGGGCGGAGGGGGAGGGAGGGAGCGCGGGCGGGCGCCTCTCGCATGGAGCCGGGGCTGAGGGCCCCGTGGTGATGCAGCAGCAGCCGCAGCACCGCCCGTGTGCGGGCAGAGCCCCCTGAGAGCCGCCGCCCGCCCGGAGCACACGCGGGGCTCGGCCCCGCTCCATGGGCACCGATGGAATCGCTCCCGATCGCACCCGCCGGCGCCGCGCCTCAGCCCGCCATGGCCTCGGCCGGGTAAGCAAGCAAGCGGCCGCCGCGGGGACTCCGGCGGCGCCGGGGAAGGGTGTGCGGGAGCGCGGGGGGACGGGACCGGCGGTCGTGGCCGCCGCGGTGCCTTTTCCTGCCCTCCGCGGGGCCGCGGGGGCTCGGACGCGGCGTACGGGGCGCGAGAGGGGCCGCGAGTGGCGGCGGCGGGGCGGTGTGTCTGTGTGGGGAAAGGGTCTGCGCGAGACGGCGGTGTGGGCGCGGAGCGCCGGGGACTGGTTTAATGCTTTCACTGGGGGACGGGGACACGCTTTTGGCGGCTTTGCCGGTGGCGGCGGCGGCAGGCGCGGAGCGCGGGGGGGCGGCGGTAGCGCCACAACATGGCGGCGGCGGCTGAGGGGACACGAGACCTTCCTCCCCCCCCCGCCGGAACCCGCCGCTGCTCTATGGCCCGTGCGCCGCGCTAGAGCGGCCGTTCGCAGCCACACGCCGCCTCGGCCAATGGCGAGAGGGCTTACAGCGAACGCGGCCAATCGCGAGGCGGTTTACAGAGGGGACGTCAGCGCGCGCCCGGGGCCGCGGTGCACTGTGGGATGCTGGAGGCCTCGCGTCGGGGCAGGAAGGAAGGGGGGGTGTCATGGCGACGAATATCGAGCAGATCCTTCGGTCCTTTGTGGTCAGCAAATTCCGGGAGATCCAGGAGGAGCAGCAGCAGCAGCACGGCGGGTAACGGGGCGGTGGGGAGCGGCGGGGAAGGGCGCGGGGCGGAGAGAGACGGGCCGCGGCCTGAGGGTCGTGTCGGCGGCAACATGGCGGGGCCGGTGGGGTCGCGGCCGTGCCGGCGCCCTGAGGGAAACGCGGCCCGGGGACCGAGAGAAGACGGTAGGGGGACGCGCCCACCCGCTCTCTGCTCGGTTTCGGTGCTGTCCTCCCGTCGGGGCAGGCGCTTGTATGGTTTGTCTGATTTACGGCTAAATTTGCCGAGTTTATCTCGTAAAAGAAGGAAAACCTTGGTAAGAGCAAGGAAAAGCTGGAATAGAGCGCACAGCGTGTATTCATTTTGTAGAGGAAACCCCTACAAGGTCGTAGGAGCACGGGGGATGTGGCACATTCCAGAACGTGTTTTTTTTCCCCCTTGCGTCTCAGCCTCAGCAGTCACAGAGTGTCCGGGCTGATTAAGTGAGAATTAATCCAAAGGCAGAGTTTTCCCTAAAAGCACGCCTTTGTCAGGAGGCTGAAATACTGCTCTGAAGAGCTGGATGTAATAAATGTATGTGAACGACAAAACATTTCCAAAAAAAAAGGCTCAAAATCGCTTGTATTAAATTGATTATGTGGTTGTTTGTTTTTTTTTTTTTTTTGGTTAGTGCAACGGTGGAAGGCCAGCCCAATGGTGACACGATCCCAGCTGAGCAGGCCGGGCCTTCCGAAGCCTCTGGAGCTGCTGGGAGTTGTCAGAGTGATCAGATAGTGCAGAAAATAGAGGAAGTGCTCTCTGGAGCCCTCGGGACAGAGCCACAGTGCAACCCAGGTAATAAAACTCCCTCTGGCAAATCTGTTCTTGGTAAGAAGGTTGTGAGTGTGCCTGAAATGGAATCAGATTTATAGAGATGAAAATGTGCTTCCTGGAGCTGCTGTTCTGGCAAGTTGTGTGTTAAATGTGGTTAAGTATTTTCTTTACAGTACTTTCACATCCAGAGGTGGCCAGAGAAATAAATTACTTAAAAATTGAGCTGGTTATATGTAAGCACTGGTATGAAAAGTTGGAGTTTTTTCTTTCCAGTGCTGAAACAGATAAATATTTTCCATATGCATGCATCTATATGTTCATAAATTATTAATTATTTTCTATATATATCTACTCCAGGGTCTCTGAACTGTTCTTAGTACCTACCACAGCTGATGCTTATAGCAGCAGTTTCTGCTTTGGTTGGTTTTCAGGATTATTTTGAAAGAAGATTTATTACAAAACAGATCTGTGATGAACTGTTCAGTCAAAAGATGATTTGCTATTTTAAAGTGTAGGTACTTACACTGCAGTCTTGCAAAGGGATTTTGATATGTCAGTCTCAGATCTTGAATAAATAACTAGATTTTTGAGGCTAAAAAGTCACATCTGAGTGTCCCCTCTTGTGGGACTGGTCCTTGCTGTGAAATTCTGACTGTGGAGGGTTGGTGAGGTGGTGAGAGCTGTAATTACTGCATTTCTCATTTTTGGGAGTTCAAACAGAGGTGACTGCAGTGTGCTGGGTGAGTACAGTTCCAGAGGCAGCACAGAAAAGTGTTAATTTCAAAGATTCTGTTGGCAGGAGTTTGGGATTGCTCTGGGGCTTTTTGCTCAGTGGTTTGTGTACCTTGAGCATTTTCAAGTTTTTAGTTTATGCTGTAGGAGCAGCACTTGAGGCTGACATGGGGAGGTTTGGGTAGGTTTTTGGTTGGTTGGTGTTTTTTGTTGTTTTTGTGTGGTGATGTGATTTTTATTTTTGTTTATTTTTTGTTCTGTTCTTGTGTGGAGGACTGAGGCAAGGTGACGTGGTAATAAAGAAGTGAGAGGTGTTAACTTGGAAGTTGATGAACCTACCTGTGGCAAACGTTCCCCCTGTCCATCTCTGAAAAGGAGTTGGAAACAGGCATTATCTGATTATCTGAATCTAATTAATTATCTTTGAAGAACAGTTAATTTTATAGAATCCCAGAATATCCTGAGCTGAAGGGATCCCCCAGTGCCACCCCTGCCCTGCCCAGACCCCCCCAAGCCCAGCCTGGGCACCCCTGGCAGCGCTGGCCAAAGGCTCCTGGAGCTCTGGCAGCCTCGGGGCCGTGCCCATTCCCTGGGCAGCCTGGGCAGTGCCAGCAGCCTCTGGGGAAGAGCCTTTCCCTGCTCTGCAGCCTGGCCTGGCCTGGCCCAGCCCCAGGCGCTCCCTGGTGCTGTCCCTGTCCCAGAGCAGAGCTCGGAGCTGTCCCTGCGCTGCCCCTCGGGAGGAGCTGCAGCCCCGGGGAGCTCTGACCTCAGGCTGCTCCAGCTGAACTGACCGAGGCACCTCGGGGGCCCCTCCAGGCCCTTCCCCACCATTTTCATGTCCCTCCTGGTTGCCGGGGCTCTGCTGACTCAGCTCCAGCTGGCCACAGACCAGGACCCCAGGGCCCTTCCCAGAGCTGCTCTCCATCCACACAGCCAGGCTTGCCCAGTCCACCACTTCCTCTGTTAAGCTCCACACGGTTGGGGATTGCCAGTCTCTGATTCGCTGAGGTCTTTCTGCAGGGCTTCTTTGCCCTCAGGAGAGTCAACAGCCCCATCCCGTTTAGCAGACTAATTATCCCCTTGAGTCCTGTGTCCAGGTTGTTATGACGATGTTGAAGAGAACTGGGCTGAGAATGGAGCCCTGCAGAACCCCACTAGTGACTGGTGTCAGCCCCATGTCACCCCAGTCACTGTCACTGTTGGTGCCCAACCCATGGGCCAGTTGCTCACCCACTGAGTAATGCAGCTGTCCAGCTGTGGGCCGGACATTTTGTCCGTAGATTTGACTCTCCTTCACTGTTCTCTCTCAATGCATTCAAAGCAATGTTGGTGCAAAAACTATTTCTAAGTTGCTTATCCCGTAGATATGTACCTGCTATTCTTGTTGTGGAATCCCATATCATGTTCATATTGCAATTACCAAATGCTTTCTAAAGATTTTGGATAGTGGAAAATAGTAAACTTTGGGATCACAAATTCTAATTGGAGGGTCTGTGTTGCAGCCCTGGCCTGTATAAATAGAATCATTGAAAGGAACATGTAATCAGACTCCAATGTACAGCTCATATTACATGGAAATCCCAGCAAGTTGCCTTTAATGAAGTGCCTTTATCCTGAAAACATGGCACTAGGGCTCCAGAAGGGCAAGAACCTAACAAAGGTTAAATCCAGAGGGAAGTGAGGTACAGAACTAAAAGGTGGTGATGGAAACCCCAGACTCCCTCTTTCCCTTCCCCATCAGTGATTTGCTTGTCCTCACAGGCATCTGAATTTGTTACTTTCCCGTTGGAAGCAAACATTCTCAGAGGAACATGCAGCTTTGCAGCTGCAGTCCTGCCTGTCCCAGTAGCTGTTCCAGCCTGCAGTGCCTTAAAGTAGTTTTGGGACTGGGGGCATGGATGCTCTTTTCCCAAACTTGTTAGACCCTAGTAAGTAACTTGGTCAGTAAATACACAGGGAATTTCTAACACAGCAGCAACACTGGACTCACTCAGGGGTTAAAGCACAGCAGAGCAGAGTGGATGGTTAGGTCATGTAGCATAAATCCCCACTTTGGTAATTTGTTTGGAAAATGAAAATTCTTGTTTATCTTCCGTGTGCAGCATTGGGGGTTTGAAAGCACATCTCCAACCTGCTCTTAGAATGTGCTGCCCCAGAGTGAGGGTGGAGAGACACCCACCCCTGTGCCCCCACAGGTGAGAGCCCACCTGCAGAGCTGCCCCAGTACAGGGAGGAGCTGGAGCTGCTGCAGAGAGCCCAGAGGAGGCTCCAGGATGAGCAGAGGGATGGAGCAGCTCTGCTGGCAGGAAAGGCTGGCACAGCTGGGATTGTTCAGCTGCACAGGAGAAGCTTTGGGCTGAGCTCAGGGTGGCCTTGCAGGGCCTGAAGGAGCCCCAGGAAACCTGGAGAGAGACAATTTCCAGGGGATGCAGGGACAGCACACAGGGGAGTCATGAAATGGTTTGGGTTGGAAGAGGACCTTGTAGATAGATTGTCTCCGTCCAAACCCCCTGACATGAGCAGGGACACCTTCCACTATCCAGGGTTATTCCAAACCCTGTCAAGCCTGGCCTTGAACACTTCCAGGGGTGGGACAGCTTCCCTGAGCAGCCTGTGCCGGGGCCTCACCTCCCTCACACGTGAGAATTTTTTCCTGAGATCTAATCTAACCCTACACTCCCTCATTTTGCACCCACTGTCCCTTGTCCTGTCACTCCAGGCTCTTGTCAGTTGTCTTCCACCACCTTTATTATACTTCCAGATGCTGGAGCGTCATGGCTAGGTCACCTGAAGTCTCTCCAGGTGAACAATCCCAGCTGTGCCAGCCTTTCCTGCCAGCAGAGCTGCTCCATCCCTCTGCTCATCCTGGAGCCTCCTCTGGGCTCTCTGCAGCAGCTCCAGCTCCTCCCTGTGCTGGGACAGAGCTGGGACAGCTCTGCAGGTGGGCTCTCACCTGTGGGGGCACAGGGACACAATCCCAACCCCTCTGCTGATCCCAGCCTGGATTGATGCCGGGGTTGTCCCAACTCACGTGCAGCCCCTGGCCTTGTTAAACCCCAGCAGATTCCGATGGGGCACTTCCTGAGTTTGTCAGATCCTTCTGGGTGGCCCCATCCTTTAGAGGTGTCACTTGCACCCGCAGCTTTGTGTCACCTGCAAACCTGCTGAGGGTGCACTTGATCCTTCTGTCATTAATGAAGATATTAAGTAACACTGATTCATTAATAAAGCTATTAAGTAACACTGGTCTCAGTACGGACTCCTGAGGGACACCACTGGTCACTGATGTCCATCAGGGCTCTGAGCTTTTGACCAGTGTCCTCTGGATGTGACCATCCAAACAACTGCTAATGTACCTGACAGTGCACCTGTCAAATTCTTCATTCCAGTTTGGAGAGAAGAATGCTGTGGGGGCACTGGGTCAAATACTTTAGAGAACTGTAGCTCTGCCCTTGCCCACTGGTGTAGCCAGTCCACCACAGAAGGTCAGACAGGTTTTTCCCTTTGTGAGGCCATACTGGTTGTTTCAGATCACATCCCTGTCCTCCGTGTGCCTTTGCTTCTAGGACGATCTCTTCCATGATCTTCCCAGCATGGAGGTGAGGCTGTGACAGGGTGGTAGCTCCCAGAATCATCCTCTCTTCCCTTCTTCAAGGGATTGGCTTTTCACTGCCAGAGGGCAGGGTTAGATCATGTATTAGGAGAAGATTCTTCCCTGTGAGAGTGGTGAGGCCCTGGCACAGGGTGCCCAGAGCAGCTGGGGCTGCCTTGGATCCCTGGCAGTGCCCAAGGCCAGGTTGGACACTGGGGCTGGAGCAGCCTGGCACAGTGGAAGCTGTCCCTGCCCATGGCAGGGAGTGGAACAAAATGAGTTTGAGGTCCTTCCCAACCTAAACCATTCCATGACTGTGATACTACTTGGAAAGAGCTGTGTTCCCTCTGGGCCTCTGTCCTGACTAACAAGAGTTGGGTAATTTTTTAAAATAAGTGTTTTATTACTTAAAGTAACTCTGAGAGGAAGGAAAGAGAGCTGGAGAGGGAGTGTGTGCTGTTTGTGCGTGGTAGTTTAGTAATTGGGCATGATTTGCAAGTTTATTTGTTTTGTACCTCTGTCCATGTACTTCACAACTACTCTGAAAGAATTTTATATATGCAGTCTTACAAATGTTTACAGGGTAAATGTAATTTTTTCTAGATGTAGACAAAAATACTGTGAAAAATAGTGCTCAGTCTACAAAAAGGAGCTCTACTGGTGAAGATGAAATTCCTAGGAAAAAAGCAAAGAAAAACAAGAAGCACAAAAGCAAGAAGAAGAAGAAAAAGAAGAAGAAAAGGAAGAAAGAGAAAAAGCATAAAAAGCAACCAAAGGAATCCAAGTTGAGTGCACATCCTGGAGAGCCTGCAGGTGTGCAGCCGGCCCCTCACTTGGTGCCAGAGCAGTCCAGCTCCCAACTGAATGTACAGCATGGAGTGTTTGCAGATGCAAACCTGGCTGGCCACGTGCAGCCAGAACTGTGCTCCAAACCAGCTGAGGGGCTTGATAATCAAGCTTTAGGACTTGTTTCTCATTCAGTGACTGATTCTCAGCAATCTGCAGAAAATCTTGGAAGTGGGGAGGGGACTTTGTGTGCAGCAAATCCTCCATTTAATTTAGAAAGCATCCAGTCTAATATCCCAGAAAATACTAGTATAGCTCAAACTAGAATTTGCACTAGCGAAGAACAAATTCAGCAGTCCCATGAAAATATTTATCCTGTAGCTATTAATGCCAGTGTTGTTGATACTGGAAATAATACTTGGTCCAGCATCCCATCTGGAATTGTCAGTAAATCTGAGATTCAGAAAGATTCAGTAGAAGCACTAGGAGGTGCAGAAGTCACTCTGAAATCTCAAGGCATTGGGGAAGTAAAAGCTTCGGACGCAGCTCTGGAGCCTGAGACCATGGAGGTGTTGACTTACTCGGAAGCGTCTCATCAGTCTGTGTCTCAAAGGGCAGCACAGGGGCTGGAAACAGCTTCAGAATCCGTGTCCTTGGCAAGTGGTGTGACAACAACTCCTGCACCTGCAAATTGGGCACATCCAAGTGCTGTGAGTGTAGCTCACGTGTCTGTGGCTGGCCAAGAAGTGAAAATTCCAGAAACAACTGAAAAATCCCTGCACATGGGAAATGTGAGAAGTGTGGAGAGACCTTCGGAAGTGGGGGCTGTGATCAGAACTTTGGAGCCCTCCCTGCAGCCCACAGTTATATCTGGGAGTTTGAGCATGACGCAGGGCAGCCCTCTGGACGCTTCCAGTGTTCTGAAAGCAGGTGTACCTTTGCAACATCCTATGACAATATCTGCAGCCGCCCCTGTGACCCACGTGGAAATAAGTGCCAAAACACCTCCAGGACCAGGAGCCGTTGCAAAAATGAAGGATACAGAACCAGCTATGGGAAGTGTGAAAGTTTTAGAAACAACTATGGAACCTGTGGGTGTTGTAGCAAAAGATGTCAGAGCAGCTCATGAAAGTCTGCAAGGCAAAAGTGTGGAAGGTACCACTGGTTCTGCAACAGCACTGGGTACATCAGGAATGTTCCTACAACATGGAGTCTTGGCAGATACAAGGAGTGTGGACAGAGCCCGGGGATCTGCAGTTCCAGCAGGATTGACAGGTATGAACGTGGTTGCAGAGGCAAAAGGATTAGGAGCAACTTCAGAACCTGCAGTGGTTGTACAGACCTTCATTCCCCAAACAGCTCCAGAAGTCCAGATGGCAGAGGGTTTTAGAAGTCCACAAGCAAAGGATTCAGAAGGTACTTCATTGCTGAGAGAATCAAGACCTGAGAGTGAATCACATGTGAGAGGTTTGGCAGCTTCCCTGTCTTTGCAGAAGGAAAACACACAAGGTCCAGGAGGAGTCCTGAGACCAGCAGCTGTAGTGGAAGCAAGAACTTTTACAACAACTTCAATGTCCTTACATGTAGAAGGTGTGAAAGCTTCAGAAGAAGCTATGCATTGTGGGACTGTTGCAAGTCCAGGACTTCCTGCCTTAGAAAGAATTCCTCAACCTGTGGTTGCATGTGAAAGCGTGGAACCAGTTAGAGAGGCTGAGGCATCAGCAGGGGTGATGCCATGGCAAGCCACAGCAGAAAGAGAACCTCTCCATGCAAGCCAGACAGAGAGTTCCATCATGGCACAGTCTCAGATCATGACACACACAGGACCCTCACAAACTGAGGTGCTGAGGAAGAGAAAGGATTCGGAACATGTTCCAGAAACAGAGGCAAGGAGCAGAGAAGCAATCCTGGAAACTGTGCGAACTTCAGAAGCCAGTTCAAAATCTATTCAGGAGCAAATAGTAGGTCATTCAGCAGCAGTATTGGAGTCTTTGCCCAGAGTGGAAGAAAACAGTATGGCGTCAGGAGTACTGACAGCATTGGCAGATAGGCAAACTCAGGGATCTGCTGTAGAACATGAAATTGCAGCAAGGAGGACCAGCACGCAAGGAAATGAGCTCTCAGAAATGGAGAAAGCAAAATACCTGGAGCCAGCATCAGAAACTGGAGGAGTGAGGTGTTTGCAGAGCATGAAAGAGTCTTCAATGGTAGAGGTGAAAGGTTCTGAAACAGGTGAAGAGCTTGAGGTACCCATGGGTGATGCTTCAGCAGCTGTTCCAGAGTACTTGCATGCTGAAAAGCAACAAGATCTTCAAGTAGTTCTAGAAGCAAAACCTGCTGCAGAATGGAAGAGTTCAGAAGAGGCTCCAGAAATCTTGGGTGCTTCTGAAATAAAATCTTCTGAAGCAGTTCCAAAACCAGGGGATGTGAAAGGCCTGGAAACCACGCTGGAACATGAAGTGACAGCCGAGGTACAATATGTAGAAGGAGTACAGAGTCAACAGGTGGAGGATATGGTGATTGAGAAGGAAGATGCGGAGCAGAGTCAAACATCTGAGCCTTTAGTAGCAGAAACAGTTTATAGTTCTTCACATGCAGCAGAGGAAAAAGTTTCAGCAGAGGCTCCTGTAGCAGAGACACAAGATTTAGAAACAGCTCCTCAGACTGATGTAGAGCTGAAAGATGCAGAAGCAGCTGTAGCGTTGGAGGCAGAGACAAAAGATTTGGAAGCAGCTCCAGTACCTGAGACTGATGCAGAAGGAGGTCCAGAACTTATAGAGGAAGGCCAGTTGGAAGACACTCCAGAGGCTGAGGATGTCAAAGAAGCAACTCCCGAAGAGGACTCAGAGAAAAGAGACTCTGAAACATCTGATGTGCAACCTGATGTGGCGGCACGAATGAAGGAGACTCTCATGAGGCTTGAGAATGTTATTGAAAAAAGTAGTCATAGAACCAGTGAGAAAAAACATGATTCAAAGAAACAGAAAAGGAGCCGTTCCAAGTCTCAGTCCAGGTCTAGGAAGCGGAAGAAAAAATCAAGGTCACGTTCAACGTCCCGGCGTTTGACCTCTAAAAGAGCGCGTTCTAGGAGCAGAAATTACTCAGTTTCCAGAAAAAAGCATTCCAAATCTAGGTCCCGATCTTTGGAGAAGAGGGAGAGAAGAATGTCTTCCCGGCGGTCCAGGCGCAGACATTCTAGGTCATCTGACCGTTACAGGTCTAAATCCAGATCAGCAGAAAAGAGATTGTCCAGACGGAGACGTTCCAGGTCATCTGACCACTACAGGTCTAAATCCAGGTCAGTGGAGAAGCGGCTGTCCTCCCGAAGGTCCAGACGCAGACGCTCCAGATCATCTGACCGCTACAGATCCAAGTCCAGGTCAGTGGAGAAGCGATTGTCCTCCCGAAGATCTGGGCGCAGACGTTCCAGGTCTTCCGACCGCTACAGGTCTAAGTCGCGGTCAGTGGAGAAGCGGCTGTCCTCCCGAAGGTCCGGGCGGAGACGTTCCAGGTCATCCGACCGCTACAGGTCTAAGTCACGGTCAGCAGAAAAGAGGTTGTCCTGGCGATCCCGCCGCAGACATTCCAGGTCCTCTGACCGTTCAAAATCTAGATCCAGGTCTTCAGAAAAGGGAGGAGGCAAAGAATACTCCTGGAGGTTTAGACATCGGTCTGGTTCCTCTGATCGTTCAAAATCCAGGTCGAGATCTGTTGAGAAAAGAGGTCGGAAGGCATCTGTACGGAGGTCCAAACGTCAGCGCTCAAAGTCCTCAGATCGCTACAAGTCTCGATCCAGGTCAGTAGAAAAAAGGGATCGAAAGCAATCATCGCGGAAGTCTAAACGTCAGCGCTCCAAGTCCTCTGACCGTTACAAGTCTAGATCCAAATCAGTGGAAAAAAAGAAGGAATCCTCACGAAAATCCAAGCGTCGACGCTCAAAATCTTCTGAACGTTACAAGTCCAGGTCTAGGTCTGTCGAAAAAAAGCGCAAGGAGTCTTCAAAAAAATCCAAACGGAAACGTTCCAAGTCCTCTGACAGTGTTAAGTCAAGGTCCAAATCTGTAGAAAAAAAAGATAAGTTATCCTCAGCAAAGTCCAGTAGCAAACATGTAGAGTCTTCTGAACTCCAGGAATCAGCCAAAGGTCTTGATAAAGATGTTCCTCAATCTTTTGAAAGTGAAGGTAAATCCTCTAATGGTCCCACATCAGTGGCTTTGTCTGACGAAGGAGTAAACGGCCCAGTCCTGCCACCATCATTTGGAAGTGGATTATCCAAAACTTCAGAGAGCCTTGAGGAAAGGTCATCTGTTGAAAAAACAGCAGATATGCAGCATTCTGCCACATCTGAATTTGATACCTCCAAAGCCCCAGATGACCAGGAACTGAGATCCACATCTGTGGAAAAAACACAGGATTCAGAGCTGTCTGTGACATCTGAAAATGGATCAACTGAAAAAGCAGCAGCTTTGGAGTCTTCATTGCTACCTGAACTTCCATACTCCACATCCAAGTCCTCATCTGTTGAAAAAAGGGGAGAACTAGAAACTTCTTCAGTAGCAGAAATTCATGTCTCTGCATCCTGTGAAGATGAGGCCAGAGCTGCACCTCTGAAAGAAGTAGAAGGTCCAGAGCTTCCTCCAGATCTTAAAAGAGACATGCAAATTCAGTCATCTTCTCTGCAGTCCGAAGGTGGGCTCTCCAACTTGTCTGATGGTCACGAATCACGTCATATCCCTGGTGAACACACAGAGTTTTCACAGGTTCTGCAAGTACCTGAACGTGAGTCTTCCCAGCTGGCTGACAGCCCTGGAGCAGTGGAAGCTCAGAGGCCTTTTCTGCCACCTGAAATGATCCGCCCTGTGATCCCTGATGGCTGTGAGTCAGGCCAGATGCAGGAGCCTTCTCTGCCTTCTGATGGTGGACACTTTGTGTCTCCTGATGGACATGGATCAGGATCCAGCTTCGCTGCACCAATAGAGGAGCATCCATTGTCTGCAGGCGAGTCCTTTAAGTCACCACATGGAAATGAACAAAGATTTTTGTCTGTTGAAAAAGTCAAGACTCCAGATGTTTCCCTGACATCTGTGTGTGGTTCTGTTGAGGTGTCCGCCGACATCATTTCAGTGTCTTCTTTTGAAGTGCATGAGTCCAGATCGTCTGTTGACAAAGCTTTAGACGGTCCAACGCTTCCACAGGTGCTTGACGTTGACTGCTCCAGATCTTTGGAAATGCATGAATCAAGATACCTAAGTGGAAAAATAGACGGTGCAGGATCTTTGGTGATGTCTAAAAGTGGGATTCCCATATGCCACGATGGCCACAAAGCAAAGTACAACTCCTTTGAGCAAACAGAGAGTGCAGAATTGTCAGTGGCATCTGAGCTCCGGTGTTCCATCTTACCTGAAGGCTATAAATTGACATCTGCTGCAGTTGAAAAAGTGGAGATCCAGAAGCCTTCTCTCTCATTGGAAAGTGGCTTCTCCATGTCTGCTGACAGGTGTGAATCAGTGGGCACACCTGAAAAACTACAGTCCCCAGTGACTGCTGTGGCATCGGAAGGTGAGGTTCTGCTGTTGCCCGACAGTCATGAGCTGAAACCCGTCCCTGCAGAAAAAGCAGAAATGCTGAATTCATCCGAACTGAAACACCTGGCATCCCCTGATGGCTACAAGCTGAGATCTGCCTACAGTGAAGAAGTACAGGTGCAGGAGCCCTTTCTGAAACGGGAAAGCAGGTGTTCTGTTGCCTCCGATGGTCATGAGTTGGCATCCACCACTTTTGAAAGAGCTGAGGAGCCTTCTCAAGTGTCTGAAAATGAGTACACAATGGGGCTTGATGGCCCAGAGTTGACATCAACCCCTGCTGAAAAAACGGAGCTGCGGAAGCTTTATCAGATGCCTGAAGAAAGATATCTGGAGTCCACTGACAGCCAGGACCTACAGTCACCCTCTGCTGAAGAGACACAGGTACAACAGCCTGCTCTGGTATCTGAAAATGAACATGCCGTGTCCTGGGTGGGCCAGGAGTTGAGGTCCAGCTCTCCCGAGAAGGCAGAGATGCAGGAGGAGGCTGTGGTTCCAGACAGTGCTGTGTCTTCTGAAGATCACAGATTGCCCTCTTTCTTGGCTGGAAAACCAGATGTGCAGGAACGTTCTCTGCTGCCTGAAAGTGAATATGGTGAGTCTCCTGTGGGCCAGGAGGTGACGGCCAGCCCTGCTGAGAAGGAGGTGCAAGAACCTTCTCTGACACCTGGCAGTGAATGTTCCATCTTCCATCAAGGCCAAGTACTGCAGTCTGGCCCCACTGAAAGCACAGCAGTGCAAGAGCCAGTGCTGGTCCCAGACAACCAATACGCTGCATCTCCCAAGGGGCAGGAGCTGCTCTGTGCTTACGCTGAAAAAGCAGAGGTGCAGGAGTGTTCTTTGCTGTCTGAAAACGAGTATGAGTCATCCCCCAAAAGGCATCATTTGAGATCCAGTCCTGTTGAAAAAGAATTGGAGGAGCATTCTCAAGCATCTGAAAGTTCAATATCCACTGATAGCCAGGAGTTGCAGCCTGCTGTTGCTGGAAAAACAGAGGGGCAGGAGTTGTCCTTGTCTGAAGGTGAATGTCCCATGACTCCCGAAGTTCAGGAGCTGCAGTCCAGCCCCGCTGAAAGAGTACTAGCCAAGGAACATTCTCTGACATCTGAGCATACTCTGTCACCTGAAAAGTACGAGTCAAGATCGGTGCGTGCTGAGGAAACAGAGGGTGTGGATTCTACTCTGACAGCTGAACGTGACCATCTCTTTTTCGAGAGCCAGGAGGTGAGTTTCGCCTCTCTTCAGAAAACAGATGTGCGGGACCATTCTCCAACACCTGAAAATGAACATGGAGCATCTCCTGATGGGCAGGAGTTGAGATTCACCACTGTTGAAAAAGTAGATAATCTGGAACCTTTGACACCGAATGATAGAGCTTCCATGTCCCCTGATGGCAGCGACTTGAATTCCATCCCTGTTGAAAAGGTGGATCATGCAATGCCTTCTTTAATGCCTGAAGGGCGTTCAGTGTCTCCTGATAACTGCAGTGTGGGCCCTGGTGAAGAAACGGGGGATCTGGAGCCCTCTTTGAGATCCGAGCGTAGATACTCCACATCCTCCTATCAGGAAGGTCATGAGCCAAGGTCTCCCGTGGAAGAAGAGGGTCTGGAGTCCTCTGTGACTTCTGAACATAGACAATCCCTGTCCCCTGAGGGACATGACCAGAAGTCTACTGCAGATGAAGAAATGGATGATCTGGATAGGCGTTCCACTTCCCCTGATGAGCATGAGTCAAGATCTAGCATTGGTGAAGAAGCAGAGGATCTGGAGCAGCCTTTGACAACAGAACGTAGGTGCTCTGAGTCCTCTGATGAGCACGAGTCAAGGTCAACCACTGGAGAAGAGGCAGAGGATGCAGAGACCTCCTTGGCAGCTGAAAGAAGGGACTCCATATCCTCTGATGACCGTGAGTCAAGGTCTGCTGCTGGGGAAGATGTAGAAGATGGGGAGCCCTCCTTGACAGCTGAACGTAGACACTCCACATCTTCTGATGACCATGAGTCGAGGTCTTCAGCTGATGAAGAAGCAGAGGATGTGGCAGCTGAACATCGCTCTGTGTCTCCTGATGGACGCGAGTCAAGGTCAACCGTTGGTGAGGAAGCAGAGGACCAGGAGCTCTCCTTGACAGCTGAGCGTAGACATTCCACGTCTTCAGATGAACAGGAGTCAAGATCTACTGCTGGTGAAGATGCAGAGGATGTGGAACCCTCCTCGGCAGCTGAACAAAGAGATTCCACCTCATCAGACGAGCAAGAGTCAAGGTCTACTGCTGGTGAAGAAGCTGAGGATGTGGAACCTCTGACAGCTGAACACAGACGTTCTGCATCCCCTGATGGGGCTGAATCGAGGTCTACCACTGCTGAAGAAGAAGGAGAGGATGCAGAGCCCTCCGTGACAGCTGAACAAAGAGAGTCCACATCATCAGATGAGCATGAGTCAGAATCTTCCAGTGGTGAAGAGGAGGGAGAGGATGCAGAACCTTCTTTGGCAGATGAGGAAAAGCAGGATTCCATGCCTGTTGAGCAGTCAGAGGAACAGGACTCTTCCTTTGTCCCTGAAAGCAGACGTTCTGAGTCTTCCGAGTGTGAAAAATCCAGATCCAAATCTGTTGATAAAGCATCTGACAGAGAGTCTCCGCAGAGATCTCTAAGCAGACACTCAAAGTCTCCTGCTCACCAGAAGAGTCGATCCACATCTGTGGAGAAAACAGCAGACAAAGAGTCTGTGCGAAGGTACAGACGGAGACGCTCCAGGTCCACGGCTCGCCAGAGGAGCCAGTCAACATCTGTAGAGAAAACAGCAGAGAAGGAGTCCTCACGCAGGTCCCGGCGGAGACGCTCCAGGTCCGCTGCTCGCCAGAGGAGCCAGTCCAAGTCTGTGGAGAAAGCGGCAGACAAAGAGTCATCGCGCAGGTCCAGAAGCCGGCGCTCCAGGTCCTCCCAGCGCAGGTCCAAGAGATACGACACGGACTCGCGCTCCAGACGGAATCGCTCCAGGTCAGCCACACGGAGAAGAGCATCCAGATCTCGGTCCAGCTCCTTGTCACGTTCCAGGCACAGGAGGAGAAGCAGGTCGAGGTCGGCGTCACGAAGGCGGCGTTCCTTGTCCAGAGACAGGCGCAAGAGGTCTCAGCGAAACAGATCGAGGTCTACGGACAGGAGAAGGAGAAGATCCGACTCCAGAGACCGTAGGATATCGCTCCGATTGCGGAGCAGGAGTCGGACCCCTCTTCGGCAGAGGCGCTCGCGGTCCAGGGGGAGGAGACGGAGCTCCAGCAGGTCCCCGATCCGGCTGCGGCGCTCGCGCTCCTCGGGGAGAAGGCGCTACAGCAGATCCCCCGACCGGCGCCGCTCCAGGTCCTCGGAGTTCTCCAGCAGGTCACCCAAACGTCTTACAGACCTGGGTAAGTCAGTGCTTTGCTTTCTCTGGTTCCGTGGTGAGGTGGTAGCGGGTGGATTTGCACAGTCTGATTTTAGCTCTGGAGCATTCATAAGGGATTTCTTAGAAGTCACTCTGTGACTTCCAGCAGGAAGTTTTACGTTGGAGAGGAATCAATGCTGAGCATCTGAGTGGAAGCCTCTTTAGAGTCAGTTTTACCTTGGCTCCAGAGCTTCTGTACAAAAGTAGCATATTGCAGTCTCAAGGAACATTCTGAATAATAATAAAGGCCAAGTACTTCAACTACTTGTACATAAGAAAATTTTGAATTTCTACTCCTGAGAGCAGAGGTCATTCCAGGTGCAAGTTGGAGAGTCCCAAGCTCTGTTGTCAGCCATTCCCAGAACTCTGTCTTGCCTCTTTCCCACAGTAAGAACTTTAAGGAAAGAGAGACTTGGTTCTGAAAATACTCCCAGACCCAGCAGGTCAGAAAATAAAATTAAATTAAATCTTGAGAGCTGCATCTTTTCTCTGTACTTGGAGGAAGAGAGGCTGTGTTGTTTCTTGGGTAATGAGTTAATTAGGGGAAAGAAGGATTGAACTGGGAGATCAGCTCTTGTAGTGTGTGAGGACACCTGTGGTGGACTTGAGGTTCTGAACTTCCCAGTCCTGCCTCAGAGTTGCCATGGAAGCCTTCCAGTTAGAGAGTTAATTGCAAACTGGCAGAAGGCTTAATTTAATTTATTTTGCTATTTCTCTGTTAGGGCTGTCCTTTTTCTCCTTATTAAAGCAAAATGCTGTTCTGTTAACAGTTTTGCATCTAATTGTATTTTAAGCAAGAGCATGTTTTACTTACTCAGAGCTTGTTTTTCTGTTTGGTGGTTATAAGTAGCTTTTGGGCTACATCTGGGGAGATGAGACTTCCTCCAGCGGTTTGAGAGCTTTCCAGAGGTAGATAATGAGGAAGCTCTGTAGTTTATACTGCGTAGGAAGGACTCAGTATTGCTAAAACAGGAAGGAATCAGTGAAGTAAGAGACATCAGAACTTGGGTGGTTGGAGGATGTTGTGGTTGGGGCTGCTGTGGGACTGCTGGGTTACATCTGCAGTTTCACTTGCCTTCTGCACAGCCCAGCTTAAAGGCTAGAGCAGCTCAGTCCAATTGCAGTTATTTTCACAGAACGTAAAAAATGCACAGTGCAGGTAAAATCTTACTTAGTTTGCCAGAAACATTTCTTTATTATTGAAACAAGAACCTACAGAAATAATGACTTCTCTGTGAAAAAAAACCAAATCTTTTTAGACAAGGCCCAGCTACTTGAGATCGCCAAGGCCAACGCGGCCGCCATGTGTGCGAAGTCTGGCGTGCCCCTGCCCCCGAGCCTGATGCCTCTGCTGTCCCAGAAGAAGGATGACAAAGCCAACCAGAAGTCCTCGAGGGACACCCTGAAGGAGCTCACTGAGGTGAGGGGGAACAGCAGCAGCCAGCCTGGAAATGACCACATTGGGGTTGGTGACCTGTGGGAGGTTGTCACTGCGTGCTGCTGTCACCTGGGAGCTGCCTGGTGTTCAGAATCCCCAAATCCCTGGGGCTGGCAAAGCCCTGCCAGCCCAGGCAGTGCCAGCTGTGCCCCATGACCACCTTGTCCCCAGGCCAGAGCACTCAGTGCCACCTCCAAGCCTTCCCTGGACACCTCCTGACCTCCCTGGGCAGCCCCTGCCAAGGCCTGAGCACCCTTTTGAGCTCTTACTCTCTCCACAGTTTTTTTTTAAGTCATCAAAACTGGTATTTTTTTAATTCTGTGGAAATGCATGAAATCAAATTATTTTGCTTTTTCTTATTTTTGGTTTTGATTCTGTTCTAATTTTGAACAAATTGGTGGTTGTCCCTGCAGTCCTGTCAGTGAGATCCAAAGCTTTCACTGCTGATTTTTTGTTCTTGTGTGGCTTGAGTTGGAAGGAACTTCAAAGCTCAGCCTGTCCCACCCCCTGCCATGGGCAGGAGCACCTTCCTCTGTCCCAGGTTGCTCCAAGCCCCATCCAGCCTGGCCTTGGACTTCCTGCAGCATAGAGAAAATCTGAAATAGAAAAGTGCCTTAATTTAATTTTTTTTATTACATCATGAGTGTGACAGTTCTGAACTTGTGTTCATAGAAATAATCTGAGAGGAAGCAATGTCCAGGTGCTGAGAGGTAATCTGCAGTTGTGCCTGGGCTGGGGGAGCAGAAGTGCTGAGCAAGAGCTGAGTTGGTGCAGGTGCCCTGTGGTGACATCCTGGGTGGTTTTTCACATCCCCTGACCAAGATCCAGCATAGCTTGTGCTGATCTGCACGCCCCAAATCTGCACCTCCCTTCCCTTTCCAACTTTGGAGATCTGTTGAATGAAGTTTCTGTCCTTTTGACTCAGAACTGTCCACAGAGCAGTGCAGGTGGTAGGAAATCAGTAAAGACATTTTAAAAAATTCATATAAAATATATAATTCTGGCCCCTTGTGAAAGTCTTTTTGTCTTTGGTCCTTTTCTTCCTCTCTTTTCTTTTCCCCCCTTGGAGGCTCTTCCCAGTTTGTGGTATGCCCATAACACCTCTGTGTTTTAGTTCTGTTGCACATCAGAGGGGGGTGGCTTGCATAGCTGGCCAACACCACAGTATTCCAGAAGAATAAAAGAAATCTTTTATAAATATATACATATAATAAAAGTAAGCTCAGAAAATCTGAGCTCTCTTGGAGCCATCACTTCTGACAGGGTCCTTGCTCTGCCAGAGAGCTGAGTCAGTAACCAAGGAGTGCCTGGCAAAGCCATGGTGGTGTTGGATAATTTGTGTAGAATATCCAAAGTTCATCTATTGGTGCTGTTGCTAAAAGATTTTTCATTCCTGGTTTAGTAAAGAAAACCACTTTTTTGATAGAAATGTGCTTTGTGGGTTTGGGTTGAAAGTTCAGGTTTACTCAGAGCTGACATTTCCCTCTGGTTTGTTTTTCAGAAATGCAAGAAGATTGCTCAGAGCACTGATGATGTGATAGTGAACAAGCCTCACGTTTCTGATGAAGAGGAGGAAGAACGTCCTTTCTATAACCATCCTTTCAAGCTGAGTGAACCCAAACCTATTTTCTTCAATTTAAGTGTGAGTGCCACTTATATTTTCAAAGCTTTACATCCTGGTTCTTTTTAAATAATGCAAGTAACTCCATAGAAATTTACCATGGGTTGATAATCTTGGTGAAACTGGGAGTATTTTTTAATCAGTTTAAAGGAAAACTCCCAATTCCATCAAGATTAATTTGGTAATCCAGTTTTACCAATTGGTAATTGGTAAAATTTTGAGCATTTCTTCAAATGAATCTGGAAATCAGATGCTTTGAAGCATGGATTAGAATTTGTTTAAATTTTGTTGGGGTTTGGGGTTTCTTGGGGTGGTGGGTGTGTTTTTTTCAGTTTTATTTGGGGTGGGGGGTTGAAAGTCTGTTCTGATTTTGCAGGATATAAAGCACTAAAAAAGCTTTAATATGCTCAGCAAAAACAGAAATAACATTCCTGGTTTTGTGTATAAATAGGTAGAGCTTGTACACAAAATAAGCACATTTAGATAAGGTGTAAGGTAGAAATGGATTGAGATTTATTATATTGTTAGAAAAGGCTACAAGGAAGCTCAAGAAACTTTGGAATTCTTCCAGGCTCCAGTTATGGGCTGCTCTGCCTCTTGTTCTTGGTTTTACCCTTTCAGTTTTGTTCTTTGTCTCTCCTAAAACCATTCCCATCCATATTCCCAGGAGTTTATTCAGTATTATCCAGTGCTGCCAGCTGTGTTTGCCTCTTGGAAGGGAAACCTGGCAGGAATTTCTGCAGGTTTTTAATACATTAACAACAGCAAGCAAAACAAGGCCATAGACATCATCTGCTCAGAGACTCAGCTGCTGCTGAAAATAGGCCAGAATAGAAACCCAAATGCTGAGAGCTGTTTTCTCTCCACTGATGGGCAGCTTTTGATCACAGGCAATGTTTTGCTGCCCAGGATTTTCACCTTGGAGCTTTCCATATAAAATCCCTGTGTCGCAGGTGGAGGTTGTTCTTGATGGGAATGGGGTCAGGTGGAGAGGGAGGGCAGGGATTTTGGGTTGCTGAAGTTGTTTTTAGGGGTTTTTCATCTTCTGTGATAGCACAATTTGTGGGTCACTTGTGTGTTTTTAGGGCTGTGCCAAAATGATTAATTGTAAAGGCTTATTACTCTTTTAGAGTAAGTAAAAACCAAATCCCAGGTGTTTGCAACAAAACCACCTCATGACTCTTGGGTGTTTCCAAGCCTCAACTTTTTCTCATTTTATTTCTTTCAGACTCCCAGCATAAAACCAGCACCACCACCCCAACCAAAAAACCAGGTCAGCCTGTCCAAGGAATTCCCTGTTTCCTCTGGGTCTCAGCATAGGAAGAAGGAGGCAGACAGTGTGTATGGAGAGTGGGTCCCCGTGGACAAAAACGGCAAAGACGACGGCAAGGACGATGTTTTCCCCAAGCCAGCCATTGAGGTAAGGAAGGCAAGGAGAGCATATCATGTAAGAAAACCAAAACCATCATCTGGGCAGTCTGGTACCAAATTACAGTCTGGGAAAAAAAAAAAAAAAGGCACTTAAAAAGTTAGTGCCTGACACTGCACTAAGCTGAGCTGAGAGCTGAGCTCTGCACATGGGGATGCTCACCTGGGCAGTGGTGGAAGCAGCCTGCACCCATCCTGCTTCTGGCAGCTGGTGGCTTCTTGGTCTCAACAGAATTTAAACTGTAGCTTAGCTGGAAGATGAAAAAACTTCCTTGTTCAGTTTCCTGCAGAGGTTAATTAATAATACCTTGAGATTTGCACAATAATGTATGTAGCGCTAATTAAAATTATCCCACCAGTCTTAGAACAAGAACATCACACTGGAATGTAATCCATTAAAGATTGTAAGTCACTTCCTCTGGATGTATTCATTTTTTTGGCTTTCCAGTCACGTTTTCTCCAATAGCTGTTTTGCACGTGGCCTTCCAAGGGAGAATCTAATTGTATGGGTAATAAACGAAGAAAACCAAAGCAAGTGGTTTTCCCCTTGAAATTTCTTCTAAAGAACATTTTTGGGGGCTGTTGTAATTAAGTAAATGAAATATTTAAGAGAGATGTTGCTATTTATAAGTGTGTGTTGCCTCAGTGCCCCTGCAGCCTTGTTCTCATACCTTCCAAAGCCAAACCCCAAAGGCTCCCCATCAATTTCTGACAAAGCCATCTCAGCACTTGGTGCATTTTGTTTCTCAAGACCTTTAGACACTGGTCAGTTCACTCCCTGAGGCACAGAAGGAATTTTCTTCTGGCTCTTCCACAGCACCAAAAGCACAGAGGATATAACTTAGCCAGCATTTTCATGGAATCCCTCAGAATTTGATGGTTGGGCACCCAGTTCCTCAGCACAGGTGGGAGCTGCACTTTGGGCTCTCCTGCTCCAGTAAAACCCTGAATGTTTGTGCAGAATGTCATTCCCAGTTTCATTGCAGTAAATATATTTAACATAACTTCCTTTCCTTTCTGTTGTGTGTACCTTTATAAATGCCTGTAACTATGTTGTCTGTTTTTATATTTTGTAAATAAATATTTTTATTTGCCTTTACCTTAACTTGGTTTGTGTTAAGGGTGATTTCAGGGGTGTTAGCTCCCAGCAGGCTGTTCCCTCCATCCCCTGGGGTTTGGGAAGTGCAGGTACAGAATTGCTGTGTGTTCCTCCAGGGAGCCTGACAGGTAACACAGTGCTTCTCTGCTTAATTCTTTCATGTTCAGGAGGACTCTGTGGTGGAAATGGCTCCCTTGGAGCAACATGAGGCAGGTCAGCTCCCTTGCTGGGGGAGTAGAGAGCTGGGGGTGCTTGGAACTTAAGAAGTTTCCCCTAGAATTGACCTCCATTTGTTGCTGATTTTGCAATACTGTGACAGTTCTGGTGCAAGTCTTGACATGAAACCCCACACAATTGCTTTTGTTGCTGTGTTTTAATTCACATATTAGTTATGGGATTAGTCTGAAATGACCCTGCTAATACATTACAGCTTGTTTTAATGAAAGCTGATGCCTTGAAGTGGTTGTGTGTGGCAGGAGGAGATGGAGGGGAAGGTCTGGAGTGATCTGAGGGCTCATCATGTCTGTAGCAGGCTGAGGCCTCTGAGGAAGGAGTGTGGAGTGCAGAGTGCCAGGGCTGGGTTAGCCCAGGTGACTTGTGCTGAGTGCTGGGATCTAAGGATGCAGTAAAAGCATTCATGGAGTGTGTGAAACACCTGCTTTGTATTTGCTTCAGTGTTTGTGATTTGTGGGGGCAAGTCTGAGAAAGGGGATCAGCCAGGAGAGCTCTGGGAGAGGGCAGCACCTCGCTTCCACCTGTTTGCCTTGACTCAGGAATAACAACAACTATCTTATACCTCAAGCAGAGATGGTTTTTTTTTCCAAGATCCAAAGCTGCCATCGAGTGTCTTGACATAACACAGAGCCCTGATGGTCTCCAGAATGGAGAGGTGTTTGGGAATTTACCCAGCAGGGAGTGTTGCTAGGCTCCAGTCCGGTAAAGCACTAACACACCTCTTTAGCATGGCAGTGGTCCCCTGTGCTTTCATGGACTGCTTCCATGCCTTTGTGTATTGCTGGATTGAAACTTTTGGTGAGTAGAAGAACTTTTATTTATCTCCTGGACCAGTTTCATAAACAGAACATTAAATAATTATTTTAGATATGTGAGAGAAAATTGAAAACTCAGCCAGTGTGCATTTGAAACAGACATTTTTACAACCATGCTGTTGTGTGAGGGGGATGTTACATAATATTTTAATTCTTGTGTCTTTTTTGTGTTCTGTGTGACAAGAAATAAGCACTGAACTCAGTCCATAGACACCTGGGACTTGTATGATTTTAGTTCTGTTTTGGTCAGTGCCAGATATTCCAGAAATGATCTTCCCAATAGAAACACCTTTGTCCTAAACACCAGCAAAAAAACCTCCATCTTAAAATCAGGTTTAATGGAGCACAAAAGCAATTCCTGTGTTTGATGCCGTTGTAGGTGTTCATATCTGTCTCTTCCTTTCAGTTTTCACTGAATTCTTGATCAGGTTCCTGGGGCAGGGTTTGTGGTTTAACAGTGTTTGTTTTGTTCAGCTGAGTCAATTTTAAAAGAGTTTCAGTTTCTGAAACTGAACTGGTGTTCAGGAATCCCCAAATCCCTGGGGCTGGCACAGCCCTGCCAGCCCATGGAGCCCCAGCTGTGCCCCATGGCCACCTTGTCCCCAGCCCAGAGCACTCAGTGCCACCCCCAGGGGACACCTGCAGGGATGGGCACTGCAAAGCTCCCTGGGCAGCCCCTGCCAAGGCCTGAGCACCCTTTCCATGGGCAAATTCCTGCTGCTGTCCCAGCTGAGCCTGCCCTGGCCCAGCCTGAGGCCGTTCCCTCTGCTCCTGTCCCTGTTCCCTGGAGCAGAGCCCGACCCCCCCGGCTGTCCCCTCCTGGCAGGGACTTGTGCAGAGCCACAAGGGCCCCTGAGCCTCCTTTGCTCCAGGCTCAGCCCCTTCCCAGCCCCCTCAGCCCCTCCTGGGGCTCCAGCTCCTTCCCCATCTTCATTCCCTTCTGGTTTAGGCTGAAGATGAAAATTTGGAACACTAAAGTCAAGATTGTGGAATGCATGTGATTCATGCTGGAATTCTTTATACAGACAAGCTTTAGTGTGACTTATTAACAGAGTGCTCATGTGAACAGCTCTGTATGAATTTTTAGTTAAATTGCATTTAATTCTGTTGGTTAGGATCTCATTGAACAGTAAAATGCTTCTCTGTTTATTACACACCAGAATTTTTTTGTGACAAACAGTTCTTAGATAATAAGTCATTGGATATTATGTGTATGCAGGTGGTTTTAAATTACCAGAGTGTTTAAGTTTAAATGCAGGTTTGTCTTTGTTCAGTAAAACCCATCTTGTGTGGATTTAAGTAGTCCCAGGATTTCCATCACGTTGCCTTTTTCTTTGTCAAACCAACAATTCACTCTGTAACCCCACTTGGCAGCATTGCTCCTCCAGCAGCTCTTTCCAGCTCAGGTGGACACTGTTGTGCTCTGCTGTGTTCTTACAAATGCTCTTTTTCCTCCTAGTGTGTGGACATAACCACAGCCATGAACGACAGAGCAGTGGCCCAGAAAAGGCTCAATGAGAACTCCTTTGACCTGGAGGCCATGTGCATGCTGAACCGGGCACAGGAGCAGGTGAGCTGGGGCCTTTCAGCAGCATTTTGGGGAGCTTGAGGCAAATCACTGTTTTCCTTTCATGGCAACTGGTTTTTCTCTCCTGTTTAAGTTTGGAAACCCAGTTGTGGGCCAGTGTTTCAAAGTTCTGCACTTCCTAACACTGAGTTTTGATGAGCTCCTTTGTGTATTCCATGTTTGCACCCAAGTCACTCTGAAAAATAGTTTCAAATGTAGTTTTCTTTAAATTTTGTAGTAGTTCAACAGCACAGATGTAGGTAATTCTTTCCAAAACAGTGGATTCAGCAGTTCTGGGGGTAAGGAGACCCTGAACTTGCTGGAGTTGGAGCTCAGGTTTCAGCGTGACCGTTCAGATGCTCAGATTTTAGGAACACCTTCTTTCATCTGAGTATCACTGAACACACCAAACACCAACAACACGCTGTGAAAATTCCTGAGGGGCAGCAGGGAGGTGCAGAGGGAAATGTGCAGGTGTTGCTGCTGGTCTCAGTGTGGCTTTTGCCGTTGCAGATCGACGCCTGGGCTCAGTCCAACTCCATCCCCGGGCAGTTCACGGGCAGCACCGGAGCGCAGATCCTGTCCTCGGACGAGCTCACCAACAGCGGGCCCCAGGCGTGGATCCGAAAGGTAGAAGTGACACAGGCACTGCTGTCTCAGCAGTGACCACACCTGACAGCAGTCCAGGACTGCACAGTGCACCACAAGTGCCTTACCCTGTGGCAGAGCATGTGCCCGGTGCAGCAGGCTGGGCTCAGTCCCTGTCCCTCGGTGTCACCAGCGAGGTGTGACTGCCGAGACGCAGCCTGCCGCTGACAGGACGCTGCTGGTGCCGCTGTGCTGGCAGTGGCACATCCCTCACTGCCTCCCTGGCACTGGCACACGTCAGGCAGGGTTCATCCTGCTGCTGTTTGGAAGCAGCTTTTGGCATTGCCAAAATCCAGCAGCTTTTGGCATCGGCTTCAGCGAACCGAGTCCCAAACTGCGCTGGAGTTTGCCTCGGTTCCCTCTGGTTGCTCCTTTGCCTCTCTCTGCATCACCAGGGTTTTCTGGGAGCCAGAGATGTGGAGGATTAAAGCAGGAGTTGCAGTTAATAAGTTCCTCTCGCTCTGATAGTGTTGAGATACAGTGCAGTAGTTGCCTCTTGCTGTGGCTGGTTTTGGGGTGTGGTGCGTCCTCCATCCGTGTGTTTGTACATTCAGCTACTCAGGCTGCACCTTTGCCTGTGAACACTGATCTGGTGCTCTGGCAGGAAGGAGATCTGAGGAGTTCAAGCAGCATCCACCTTCCAGGCACAAGGAATAAGGAGTTAAGCTGGTCAGTGTGGCAGGTGCTGCAGTTGAGTCTGTATCAGCTTGGGTTGGGACACCCTCCAAGATGGGAGGTCAGATTTGAGGCTTAGGTGGAATTTTCCATAAAAGTTGGTGTCAGCTGAACACAAAAGTCTGGAATTACAATATCCTGAAAATAGAAGCATTTTTTTGCCAGGATTCACTAACTTTTATTCCACTTCATGTAGCCAAGCAGTGCAGAGAGCCAGGGAACACAGATTTGAGTCACTGGCCAGATGGGAATCTTCTGGAATCTTGCCAGTGTTAATGCAGAATGTGCATGATAAAGTCTGATTTTAACAACTATGAACAACTGAGATTGTAGCAAAATGCTGCCTTTGATGAAGACAATCCTTGTTCCTGGCAGAGGGAACTGAAGCACAGGGATATGTTGGTGAGGAAGGAGTTTTTCCACGGGGGAGCTTGGGAAGGAGATCAGCAGGGCTGTGAGGGGAGGGTTCTCCCTGTCTGCAGCACCTGGAATGGGTTCCCAAGGCCCTGGAAAGGGAGCAGCTCTGAGCAGCTGTTTCCCAAACCTCCTCCCTGGGGTCTCCTGTGATGGCAGTGACAGGAGGGGCTGCTCACAAGGGTGAAGTGGAAAGGGCCAGGTGTGATTTACCTGTCCTCCAGCTTCGCTCTGGGATCTGCTTTAAAGCAGCCCAACTAAACAAACCAAAATAACAGCCCAAAAAACCAGACACAAGCCAAATAAAATGCTTCAAGGGAAGAGAATGGGAGAAGAGTGTGGTCTGTGCTTGTGGACTCAACTGCTGCAAGGAGCAGAGGAGTATTGGAACATTTTGTTGGATCTGGGCATCAGTGAGGCAGCAGCAGCTCTCCTGCCCTGCCCAGAGCTGGGAAAGTGCTGTGGTCACACTGCAGGCTCTGGGGCTGGGCACAGAGAGGCAAAGTCCTCTCCCTGCCCTGGCATTCCTCAGCTGCTCTCCTGCTCTGCCAGAGCTGCTCAGAAGTGCCCTGGGGCTCCAGGAATGGTGGGGCTGGGAAAGCCTCACACAGCTTCGTGTGGAGTCCTGCTGTGGCTGCAGGAGGGTTTCACAGGAAGGAGCAGGCACGTGGTTCTGAGTCCATGCTCTCTTTCTCTGGGACAGGAGTACAAACCAGCCATGAAATGCAAAGTACTGCTTGTGTGTTACCTGAAATTGTGTGACAACGATCAGTTACTGAGTCAGGCTTGTGCTCCCTTTTTGGCCTAAAAACTGTATCTTAACATGAAAAAATCTGGTATTTTTCACTCAGGCCAGGAGTTGGACTTTGATCCTTACGGGTCACTTCCAACTCGGGGTGTTCTGTGTTTCTGTGGTTTTTATCTGCAAGCAGGGCTGTGGAGATCCTTGGGGGATGTTGTGTCTGTGAGTGAGTGCACATTTCTGGCTGAGGCTGTTTGCTGAAGGCATTTCCCTCGGGAGTTTGCCATGGCAGGAGCTGTGACCATCAGCACAGACTGAGCCTGTGGCAGCCACTCCATTTGGGTGTCAGGAAAGAAGGAATTGGAGCGAGCACAGGCACTGGGTGTGACAGAGGTCACCTCAACACCAGGGAGCTGGAACAGGAGAGTGGCTCAGGAGGGCAGCAAGGGACTTGGGGAACTTGTTTGCTGAGCTCTGCCTTCACTTTGCATTTCGTGGATTTCACCTTTTCTTGTCCTTTCCCAGTGACTCTGGAGAGGTGATGTGCACTCAAACCAGACTCAGAATCTCAGTTTGGGAATTAGGTACTGCAGGGTTTCATGTGGAGCACTGGGGTGAGGACTCTAAGCAATGAGGTTTATGTTCTAATTCCTGGACTAATTCCTGGTGTTTATGTGCAGGGGCCTGAGCAGGGTCCATAAAAGAATGATGTGGTGTAAGGTTTAAAAAATTTATGAACAATCTTACCTTTCCCTTTGAAAAAGTGGCTTCCGTTTCAGTTTGTCACCATCAGTGTAATCAGTTCACAAATGTGACTCATTTTTCTGAAGGTTGCTTCTATTTTTATTCCCTTTTTCCTTCTAAACACACTGTGCTGCTGAAGAAATGTCAGAGCAAGTGGTCAAACATTTTTTGTTTTTCCAAGCAAATTCTGTTGAGGTCTGTTTACTCCCCCTTTCCCAGACTCACCCCTTGGTTCTGGATTTATCAGCTCAATTCTGGAGCCTGAACTTGCTCCCCAGAGCCAGAGCTGTGCTCAGGGGCGGCCCTGGGGAGCTGCTGGGTCACTCACTTGTGCTGATCCCTGGGGTGCAGAAAGTTCTGGAAAGTGCAAACCTCCCTTCCATTCTTGCAGGCACAGCAGAGCAGAGCTCCTCTCAGGGTGGAAGGGAAGCTGGGCCCTGTGGCTGCCCTCAGCAGAGCTGGTGTTCCTGCTGGGAGCAAGGAGCTTTCCTTGGGAGCCAGGCTCACCTGGCAGGGCAGAGCAGCTCTGTGCTCACCAGGGACTGGATCTTGGCAATGAGGAATTGTTCCCTGGCAGGGTGGGCAGGGGCTGGGATGGAATTCCCAGAGCAGCTGGGGCTGCCCCTGGATCCCTGGCAGTGCCCAAGGCCAGGCTGGACACTGGGGCTGGAGCAGCCTGGCACAGGGAAGGTGTCCCTGCCATGGCAGGGGTGACATCTTTAAGGTCTCTCCTGACCCAAAGCAGTCTGGAATTCCATGATTCCATAGGAGGTGAGTTCTGTTGGACTGGCTGCTCTCCTTCCCAGCCATCCCTTTTTCCCTGCTGTTGTGCAGAAGCTGGGAGCAGCACCTGCAGGTGCTTGGGAGCAAAGGGCTTGTGAGGCATCTGCTGGGCTTCTTCAGCAAGGGATTCCTGCTCCTGTCTGTGGGAAGGATTGGGACTGCTGCTGAAAGGGCCAGAGCATCTTCCAGTTCAGCACCCAGCCCAAATTCCCTTCCTCAGGATCCCTGCAAGGTGCCACAGGGAGCAGATCGTGCCCAGAGCTCCAGGAGTGTTTGGAGCTCCCAGGGAAGCCAGGGATTGTTGGGCTGTGCAGGGCCAGGAGCTGGACTTGGATGGTCCTTGTGGGTCCCTTCCCACTCAGGAGATGCTGGGATTTAATGGGAAATTCTGCTGCCTGGCACAAGTTTTTCCCAAGTGATGCTTCCTCCTGGAGCTTGGAACTTCCTTGGAGTTCAGCCTTTAGTCCTGCCCTGAACTGCCACCCCCTGCCTTCAAGGCTTTGCTGTCTTTGCTTCCTAAATTGTTGCTCTAAAGAGTCAGCCTGAAGAATCAGCAAGAAAGTTAATTAAAACTGCTCTAAGGCCTCTGAAGGAATCAGGTTTTGCCTTCTCTTTAAAGCAAGTGCTGACACAAGAATGTGGCTCTTGAGTGTCTCCATGTGTTGGCAGAATGGAAGTGGAATTTCATGGAATTTAGGGCTCAAAATACGAGGAAAAAAGTATCAAATTGTCCTGCAGGCTCCCTCAAATTAAGACCAGTGAATGAAAGAGAAATGCTTTTGTAAATACTGAGTTAGTTCTGACAGCAGTAACCAAATGCTCAGAAACCTGGGGCTTCTTGTGTTCCATCCCCTTTAATTTGTATCTGCAAAGGTCCAGAGCTGCTCAGGAGTTTTTGGGAGACTCACCCTGGGATGGTTTTTAAAATGAGAATTGTGCCTCTTGCTTCCCCACTTCAGTGAACATTTCTGTTGCCTCTATGGTTTTCAGTGAGTTCCAAACCCAGCAGCAGTTTTACCGCCACTCATTAAATCATGGCTGAGGGAGGGAAGTCGTCTGTTACTAAACTACAAAAAAATACAATGTACAGGTGGCACTAGAGGTTTGCATTCACTTTATTATTAAAAGGAAAAAAACCCACCAGAATGAAAATGCAGGAACTTTCTCCTTGCTGCAGACCTTTGCCTCCTCAGTGACCTGAGTCCAAGGGGGCTTCTCCTGGCTCCTTTCCCACTGGTACCAGAATTCCTTCCTCTAGCCTTTTGGTGGGAAGCACAAGTATTTGTGTATTCTGGAATTAAATTATTATTAATAATAACTATTATTAATAATAATAAATGTGTAAGTCATTGTTGTGCTGGCTCTGTTGGTCACATTGAAGAGTGAGCACAAAGTTCCTGCTGCAGTTTCCCTCCAGGATCCTGAATTCTCCCACGGAAGGGGTGCTTTAACAAACAGCCCTTTGGAACCTAGAACTTCCTGTTTCCAGTTTCTGCAGTTTGTTCAGGCTCTGGTAATTCCTCTGTAGGAGCTCAGGGCTTTGACCAGGAGCAGGATGTTTTGGTTCTGCTCTGTCCTTGCTCCAGCCCTGAGCCAGGACGTGTCCAGGTGTTTGGGAAAGCCGAGTGAGCCCGCAGTGACCTCAGCAGGAGCTTGCGCTGTGTCCTTTGTGAACTGAACACACCCCGTGGTGCTGGAACAGCCAGGGAGCCAAATCCTGCCCTCCAGCAGGAGCCAGCCCAGCTCCAGAGCCTGGAGGGAGCTTCTCCTACAGGATGTTCCTGGAGAAGACGGGAGGAGGGAGTGGGAACTGAGGGAAGGGGTGTGGATGCTGCGTCTGAGGGACTGGCTCTGCACCAGCCCCAGCTCTGCTCCTCCAGCCACGTGGATCCATGTGGATCCAGACAGGGATTTCCTGGCCTAGGCAGAGATTGGGAGCATTCCTGGCACAGCCTCCAGTAAGGTTTTCCTGTCACACTTCTGCCAGCCTCCAGCGTGGGGGCCGGACGCAGACGCGTGTTGGGAATCCCTGCAAAACACCCGGTGTGCCAAAGGAAGCCCTGTGGCTTTGTTCCCTGCCGGTGGCCAGCGGGCCCCTGGGAGCCCTGGGAATCCAGGGACACGTGGGTGCTGCAGTGTGACAGCCCCAGGCCTGCGCTGAGCTCCAGGAGCTCCCGGGGATGCCCAGGCTGGGATTGCTGGGCTCTCCGTGCAGGGCCAGCAGCCGCAGCCCGTGGTGCTGATGGGTCCCTTCCAGCTCAGGCCATCTGTGACTCCGTGAGCTCCGGGGAAGTCCCTCTGCTGCGAGCCCAGCTCCGGAGGAAGCAGAGCCCCGGGCAGCGAGCCAGCCCTGCCCAGCTCCTCGGGGCGAGCGCGGGCAGGCGAGGCAGGTTCTGCTCTCACGGAAATGCTTGCCTTGCTTCTGGGGTCAGCGGGGGGGCACGAGAGATGATGGTTCACAGAATAACCTGTGAACTTTCACCCCTCTATATGGAAACTTGTTTCAGGGTCAAATCCTTGTAGCCGCCTTCTTGCCACGGTCAGTGCCAGCCCTACTATTCACAACACTGCGGCCAGCGAGGCCTAGGTACGTAACATTTAAGGAGTTTTTACAGTTCTTTACATCAAAGCAGATGTTTAAACTTTCTGTTGATAAGCTTTCACCGTTTAACAACTTTTGTTAATGCTCATTTGAAAGAATGTGACGACTGCTGCTGCTAAACTGGGGGGCCAAGCGCCTTTTTCCGTTAAAATAAAGAGAGGGGAAAGCAAAACCTGTTTGTTCCATGTGGAATTTCAGAGTAGAACTTGAATGTGCAACTGCTGTGTAATGAATCAGGTGGGGAGAGGTTTTTTTTTTTAAGATTTAAATCCGCCTAAACAGCCTGTGAATGTCATGACTAAATGTGCTTGTGTTCTGTTGGACGAGGAGGTGCCCCTGGCACAGCTGTGCCAGGATCAGTTCCCACTTCCCGAGCTGAGGAGATCTCTGGGATCAGAGCAGAGTCTTTAGAGCCGGATGGTTGTCGCTTGGTTAAACACATCTGTCTGCCAAGGGTCACTGCCACTTTGGGATCACCTTAGATTTCTCCTAAGTTGTTCTTTTTTGCCAAACATTGATTTGTGTCTCGTGTGTCCGCGTGAATTCCGGGTTCCACGCACTGGTTTGGGCTAAAAATCCACAGAGCTCAGGTGGATTTTTTTATTTTATTTTATTTTTTTTTTTAATTGAGTCTGTGAAAAGTTGTTAGAAACATTTTTTGGAAGTTCCCGCTTCTTACTTAAAATCACAGCGCTAACTTTAGGCCTTGTTTTACTTCTCTTTTTCTGGATAGGATCAGTTCTTAAGAGCAGCCCCTGTAACTGGAGGAATGGGAGCTCAGCTGATGAGGAAAATGGGCTGGAGAGAAGGAGAAGGGCTTGGGAAGAACAAGGAAGGCAGCGTTGAGCCCATCATGGTGGACTTCAAGACAGATCGAAAAGGTGAGTCCTGCCTCAGAAATGCCCTGTGGCTTCTCTGCTCTCTGCTGCCTGGGGATGGCAGAGCCCTTGGAAGCAGGAGGTGTTGCCTGGGTGGCTTCACTGGCACATGAACAGATTCTGGGATTTTACCTCAGGTTTGCCAAGGCCTGGGGTCAGTCCAAAGCTTTGTCCCTGTGGAAAAGCTGCAGTGGTGGCTCTGCAGAAAGTGGCTGGAGCAGGAGCAGGGATAGAAATGGAATAGTGGGGTCAGTTTTACAGAGGGGTGAGGACAGCTGAGAGCCCCAAAGCTGAGCTTTGTGACTGACTCACACTCAGGGCTTTGGGGCTTCCTTGGGGATTCTGGTCCTCTTTTTGTCCCTCATTTCCCTGCTGTTCATCTCCTGCCTGATCCTGCTGAAGGCATCCCTGCTCATCCTCAGGGCTGGTTCCAGAGGCAGCTTCAGCCTCCACTTGACCTGGAAACCTCCCCTGTTTTCCATGGTTTCCTGTCCATGGCCACAGGGCAGAGCTGACTTGGTGCAGCAGAACCATCCAGTGGTGCTGCTCCTTCAGCTTGGCCCCTGAGGTTTGTGTGCTGGGTGCTGAGGGAGATTCTCCATCTGGAACACCTCTCCAGCTTCTGACTGCTTTAAATCCAAAACTGAGCAGTCAGGATTTCTAATTTGATTATTCTGCTGTGCATGGAGCAAAACAACTCCACACTGACTGTGGGACAGATTCCTGCTGTTCTAAAGATGTCTTCTGCACCAGGAACCTTCAATCCCAGCTCAAAGCAAGGGGTGGAAATACTCAGGATTTTCATTTCAAGGCCATTGGATGGGGCTTGGAACAGCCTGGCACATGGAGGGTGTCCCTGCCACGGCAGGGGTGGCACTGGATGGGCTTTAAGGTCCCTCCCAGCCCAAACCACTCTGAGATCCTGGGATTTCAGGACTTGTGTTGGCTTTTGTCACTGCTCAGAATGAGCTTGGAATGGCCAAACCTCTCACATGTTTTTCTTTACAACCTTTCTGTGTAAAGAAAGAAATGAAACCCCAAAGGTGGCTGGTGGCACAAGGGCTCCTCCTGGCCTGTGAGAGTCCCCTGAAGGCAGGGCCAGCTTCAGCTGGGCTGGGCTGTGGATTTCCTGTTGTGAAGCACCTCTGCTCACGTGCAGCCTCACCTGATCATTCCACAAAAGTCGTGCCTGGATGCAGAATTCCCTCTTGGGCACCCAGGTCTGTGACACAGGGAGATGAGGGGCAGGGGGTGTCCTGCTCACAGACAAACAGGAAACATGATTATAAATTACATATATATAATATATATTTAGGACAAGGGATTATATACTGGGGACAAGTAGTTTTTCAGACATCCATATTCTTGGGTGATTAAATGGGTAAAACAAACTCCTTTTTTTTTAAACTTCTGTGTAGAGTTTTAAAGTCCACATTTTTTAACAGGAAGGCTGTTATTAACCCACCACCCAGGTTTGGTTTGTAAGGAATTTATTAGACATTTTTTAATGTAGAAAACAGTATTTTATTTTCTGAATATTAAAATTTATATGTTAATAATTATTGAATATATATTTTAATAAATATACATTTATAAATCTAAACCAGCCCCCAATAAAATACAATTCCTGGTCCCAGGAAGTGACTCAGGAGGCTGCAGATTGTTTGAAATTCCCAGCTGAGGTCCCAGAGCCAGGAGGTGGAATGTCAGTGACTCAGGAGCAGGGAGAGAGTTTAATGAGGAGGGTGAGAATCCCATGTTGGGTTTGGGTTTAAAACTCCATGAAGGGGGGAAACCCTCAGCCTTTCCTTCAGGGATTGCCTCTGATGGCTTCATGCCCCTTGGAAAGGCCCTGCTTAGGAGCTGCAGGAATATTGGGATGAATATCTGGTAAGGAGGGAAGGATTTTCCTGTAAAGCAAAAGAAACCCAAATGCCACCCAAAAAAGCTGAAGGAACAGGAAGACACTGGAAGCAATTGCAGTATCTCCCTGTCTGTATTCACCAAAGCCACAGCAGGAAAACTTGAGGTAAGAAACAAAGGAATATGGAAAGGTTGAAGTCTGAGAGTGGCAGAATCCACGGGGAGAAACTTGAGTTTCTCTGGTGGATTGTCACTGGAATTTCAGACGTTTCTGGCAATTCTTCAATTCATTTCTTGGTCTTGTGAGATTTTCAGAAGAACAGTGTTGAGCTGTGGTGTTTGCCAGTGACTCCAGGAGAGCCTGTGCTCCCTGCAGCCCTTTGGGGCTGCTCTGCTGCTTTGGTCCCAGGTGGGATGGAGGTCCCAGCTTGGGCTGCTGGAACCCTGTGAATTCAGAGAGCACACGGAATCCGGGGTGTCACTCCTGGCAGGAGGGGACACAGGGACATCTCTGGATAATGGGAATGGTTCCTGTGCTCCTGTGTCTGAGGCAGACTGAAGGCAGGGGGTGACTCTGGGCTGCACAACACAGCAGGGGAATGTTCTTCACTGTCTCCCTTGTTGATTGTTTCTCCAAAGAGGGCATGGAAAACCAGGTTTCCATGGAAAACCAGGTGTTCTCTGCCTTGTGTAAGACTGCTCAGAGTTTTCTCCTCTTGGCTGCTCCAGAGTCTTCCTGGAGCCCTTGGGAAGAATGTGCTGAGTGGAATGATGGAACAAGGTGGAGGGTTGAGAGCTGGGTGGAGCTCCAGGTGTCCCCTGTGGTCCCTGGTTGTGCTGTGCTGATGGCTCAGGGGAATGGGCAGTGTCAGCGTGCCTGTGTTCTTTGCAGGGCTTGTTGCTGTGGGAGAGAAGGCCCAGAAGAGGTCCGGCCATTACGTGGTGATGAAGGATCTTTCAGGTGAGGTTCTTGTCTGGAACGATGCAGTTGCCAGAGGCTGGGTGGGCACTGACCCTGGGGTGTCTGTGTGCCAGGGAAGCACCCGGTGTCTGCGCTGATGGAGATCTGCAACAAGAGGAGGTGGACGCCCCCCGAGTTCGTGCTGGTGGACGACAGTGGGCCTGATCACCGCAAACATTTCATCTTCAAGGTGGGTCTGGGCTGCCTGCCCCTGTGCTGCTTTCCCTGTGCCAGGGGTGAAATCCATGTTTCTGTTTGATAGAAACACCTCACGGGGCTGGCTGAGGATGGTGGAGCCGTCTCGGTGCTGGAACGTGCAAGTCCTGTTCCTGGAAAGGCCAAACCGAGTCCCTGGAGCACTTTATTCTGGGATCCCAGGGCTGGAGCCCCTCTGGAGCCAGGCTGGGAGAGCTGGGGGTGCTCACCTGGAGGAGAGAAGGCTCCAGGGAGACCTCAGAGCTCCTTGCAGGCCCTAAAGGGGCTCCAGCAGAGCTTGAGAGGGACTGGGGACAAGGGCTGGAGGGGCAGGATGCAGGGAGTGGCTTCCCACTGCCCGAGGGCAGGGCTGGATGGGATCCTGGGAATGAGGAATTGTTCCCTGGCAGGGTGGACAGGCCCTGGCAGAGGAAGCCCAGGGCAGCTGTGGCTGCCCCTGAATCCCTGGCAGAGCCCAAGGCCACTGGGGCTTGGAGCAGCCTGGGCCAGTGGAAGGTGTCCCTGCCATGGCAGGGGTGGCACTGGATGGGCTCTGAGGTCCCTCCCAACGCCAAGCACGGTGGGATCCCATGGAATGTCCGTGCTGACAGGCAGCCAGGGGATCTGTGTCCCTAAAAAGGAGCTGCCCAGACTGTGCCTGGGGCAGCCACGGCCCCCTCGCTAACCCCTGGTTCCCCCGTGCCAGGTGAGAGTCAATGGCAACGAGTACAGGCCCACCTTTGCCAGCCTTAACAAGAAGCACGCGAAAGCCACGGCGGCCACGGCGGCGCTGCAGGCCATGGGACTCGTACCAAAGGAAAGCATGGTCAATACCACCATGTTCAGGAGTGCCTCACACCGCTAAGCTTGGCTTTACTGGGACACTGGTTCTGAGCGTTTTACTCTGCACAAGAAATGGTATTTGCCCCTCTCATGTTGTAAATACATCGGCGATTCCCACCTTGTAAAAACTGTACAGGCACCCACAGGTTTTTCTTTTGTACCATCCAAATGTATTTAAATCATACTTAGTTTTTGGTATGTTTATATTGTTTACATTAGTGATGTAATTATTTCTTAAACGACTAAATCAGACGACAGACTCTGGAGGCATCAGAAATCCAGACCCTTGGCTGAAGCTCCTGCAGTTCCTCTCCTGTCAGAGCGTTGACCCTTTGATACAGTTTTCTAGTGGCTGCAGAGTTCCCTGGGCTCGGGGAGGTGCTGGGGACACCCGGGGGCCGTGCCCGGGCTCTGCCCCTCGGTGCCACCCGTGCCCAGGACGGCCGGAGCCGCGGGCGCTGCCGGAGGGACGCGGAGGCTCGGACACCGCCCGGCCCAGCCTGGCCCCAGGAGGGGGCTGGGGCTGCTCTTCCCAACCAGTGAATCCACTGCCTGATGCTGATTGTACGGATTTGTGGTTCATGTGAATTTTAAACTCTTTAACAAATCTACAACTGGATTTGGGGGGAGGGAGGGGGTAGAATGACGCTTCAATTGTTGTACCCAACTTGGTCAATAAAGCAGCACAAGTTCATAATCTTCACCCCTGGTCAGTAAACAGTAATTCCAACGGATGCCAAGCCAGGAAACGGGAATTTAAACACGCCAAAACGCCTTCTGCAAGGAACACGAGATACGGAAGTGGCTTTGTGAGGATTCCCAACAGCCATGGGGATGGCAGGAGCAGGTCTGGTTGGTCGTGTTTGCTTTGAACTGTTACGAAATAACTCCTTGGGATGAAATGTTCCCAGAAGGATCCTCTGCCCTCGAGGAGCCTGATCCAGAGTTTGGGCAGTTGGACAGCAGAGAGGATGTAGAAAGCTTTTCCTGCTTTTATTTTATTTTTTATTTAAGAAGCATTAATCTTTGATCTGTGTGCACGTGGGATTGGAAGGGGCAGCGCAGCCTCCCTGAGGGATCTGAGTTAGGAGCAGGCTGCCAGGATTTGTGCCCTGGGGTCATCCAGGCGCTTGTCCCAGACAAGTCTTGGTGAGGTGTGAGCCTGAGCTGGGTTTGGGGACAGGACAAACCCAGCCAGGCTGCTCAGGCCTCTCATGAGGGACCCTTTGGCCTTGTGTCCATGGAGCTGAGGAATTCCTGGTACCTGGAGCCGTGTGGATCCCGTCAGTGTCACAGAACGTGGTGTCTCCTTGCTCTGCAGGGACAAGGGTCGGTGTTTCCTGTGCAGCAGGGAGTTGGGGTTGGTTTGGAGTCAGAAAAGCCCCTCTGAGTCTGTCCAAGCGCTCCGAAAATGCTTCAGTTGATCTTCATTTCATGGACGTTGTTGTCTTGAATTAAACTTTTTTCCCTTTGGCTTCTCGCCTTCGGTCTCTGACTAAATGTGTGGAGCTTGTCCTGCGAGCTGCTGGGGAGGTGTGAAATCCCAGGAAATGTGGGAGGAGGCACCTGGGGGGGCTGGGGGTGTCTGGCTCCAGCCCGGGCCGGGAGCAGCTCCCAGCACTCAGTGGCTTGGCAGAGCTCAGAGCTCGCAGCTGCTGAGGATTCTCTCCAGTCCTGCTCCATGCAGCTCAGACTTCACAGCTGGACACGATCAAATTTAGGAATGTGCAACCCCCTGTACTTGTTTACTTCTTTTTTCTGTATCCGTTTCCCATGCATAAGGTAAAGACCTGAGTTCTCTCCCAGCAGCAGAAAAATCCAGTCCCTCTAAAGACTCCATTTGTAAAATCCTCAGAAAGGTCTGGATTTCATGGCTTAAAGCTGGGGGGCTGCGTGTTCCTTGGAGTCACATATCCTCCAGGAACAGCCCTGCATCCTGGAGCAGCTGGCATTTGCTCCTGGGGCTGGCAGGTCACAGCAGTTCTGCAAAGCCGTGATTAATCACCAAGAGTTCCAGCAGAGCTGCACCCCTGCTGGATCCCTGGGGCAGGACACTGCTCCTGCTGTGGACAGAAAGGGTCTGGAGGCACAGGAAGCTTTTGCTGGCCCAGGCTCTGGGGCTGCTCCGTGTTCCATGTGCATTTCCTCGATGATCCCAGACCCCAGGGGCACCAGCAGGGAAAGCTGAGCTTTGCTGCCCACAGCTTCACTTCCAGTAAGGAGCACCAGATTACAGAAATATGGCTGGAGAGCACAAACACAAGTGGGTTCTACTTCCCACTCAGCTGTGGCATTCCCTGCTGCAGGAATGTGCTCAGCCAAGAGCTGTGGAAAAGTGACACACTCCCCAAAAGGCCTGGGACCCCTCTACCTGCCGGGAAACGCTCAGAGCACCTGGTCAGACCCTGCTCCTCTTCCTCTGTCTCTGTGATCCATGGAATCCCCGGGGCTGGCACAGCCCTGCCAGCCCAGGCAGTGCCAGCTGTGCCCCATGGCCACCTTGTCCCCAGCCCAGAGCACTCAGTGCCACCCCCAGGGGACACCTGCAGGGATGGGCACTGCAAAGCTCCCTGGGCAGCCCCTGCCAAGGCCTGAGCACCCTTTCCTCCTGCTCAGGTGCTGCAGCCGTTTGATTCCTCCCCTTGTTCCCCTCCAGGCTGTGGTTTGTGAGCCCGGGGTGGGTGTGGGAGCTCTGCTGAGCAGCTCTGGGGGGCTCTGACCTCCTTTCCTCCCTGTGGAGTTCGAAGATGACCCAACCCAAGAGGTGCCACACACCAAGGTGCAGCTGCTGAGGGTGGCAGGGGGCTGTGAACAGTCTGGGAAGGGGTTTTGCCAAGCATTCCACCCATCCATAGGATCCCAGAAGGTTTGGGCTGGAAGGGACCTTAAAGCTCATCTGGTTCCTATCCCCTGCCCTGAGGGATTTCTAGTTCTGACCTGGTTATGAGTTCCTGCCCCAAGCAGGAGCAGAAATTCCATGCTTGGAACAGAAGGTGCGTGTGCGTGGGGAACAGTGACCTGCCAGGGGCAAACCAGACCAATAAAACCACATTTTATTTAAAAAACCTTTTCTACAATAAAAAAGGAGATGTCCAAGGCCTTTCCCCTCCTTTCCTTCCAAGCCCTTGGAAGTGTTCCTGTGCAGCAGCTCCGTGGGCTGTCCCTCCTGCCCTGCCCCAAGCCCAGCACCTGCAGCCCTGGCAGGGAGTGTCCAGCAGCATTCCTAGGCCTTCCAGGTGTAGGCGTAGTCCTTCATCTCCAGCAAGCGGATGGAGGATTTCCCCAGAGTCGGACACTGACTCAGCTGCTCCAGAGTCTTGGGATGCAGCCCGCAGGCAGAGAGGTCCTGCTGCACATCCTCCTGTGGAGGGCACACGCACGCCGTGAGGGTCCCTGCGGGCAGTGCCCGTAGCTCCAGCAGCACTGGATCCCGCGGGGGAGCTCACCACTACCCCGCTGCCGAGGCAGGACGAGCCCGGGGCCGCGGGCGGTGCTCCCGGTACTCCGCCGCCGGGCAGGGTGTGCGCTCACCTGGGGCGGGGCCGGGCGGGTGTTGAAGGCGGCGCTGGGCTCGTGGGCGCTGAGCAGGGCGCGGAAGGCTCCGCGCTGCGCCGGGCCCAGCACCAGCGTCAGGGCGTGCAGGGCGTGCGGCAGGACGGGCCCCAGCACCTCCAGGCTGAACACGTCCTCAAAGCCCCCCGGTGCCCGGGCACGGCCGCTGACAGTCCGAGCCTGGGGGCAGAACAGCGCCGTTAGTGCTGCACAAACCACAGGAGGAGCAGCAGGAGTTGTCACCAGCTCTGACACCGCCGTGCCACAGCCCCACTGAAAACAGGAACGCTTCTCGGTATCGTCCACTCCCTGTGCAGTGCATGAGGTTTCACTGTCCCTGTAACCCTAAAATGTACCCCCTGGACTGCAGGAATGCTGTAGGGGCTGGGAAGGGCACAAAACCAGGATGAACTTCTCTGGTGGAACAAGTGGATCCTGTTCTTACTAGGAAGAAAATTGGGTTAGATATAGGGAAAAAATTACTTGCTGTAGGGTGAGGAAGCCCTGGCACAGCTGTGGCTACCCCTGGATGCCTGGAAGTTTCCAAGGCCAGGCTGGACAAGGTTGGGAACAACCTGAGATAGTGGAAGGTGTCCCTGGCCATGGCAGGGACTGGGATGATCCTGAAGGTCTCTCCCAATCCAAACCATTCCTTGCAGGAACAGGTGAGCTGTGGCTCAGGGGCTCCTCGTGCAAGGGGCTGGGATAGTCTGAGACCCCAATGGATCTGGGGAGAATCTTAACAACCATTTTCCCTCTGGGCAGCTCTGCACAGCCTCTTGTCCCTCGGGAGGAGAGGGAAGGGAACGCTGGGATGCCAGTTCAGTACAGGGATGTGTTGCAGGGATTTAGGAACAGGCTGTGCCTGCAGACAAAATCCTGGCTCAGGCTTTAGCCACAAAAATCCCGCTGGGTGCCTGAGGGAAATGACACCAAGCCAGGGTCTGTTCCCCTGGGGAAGGAACCCCTTCCTCCCCGTTCCCGGAGCCAGCCGCGTCCCTCACCTTGAGCGTCTGCATGGTCCCACCCCGGAAGGCCACCGGGGCCAGCAGCGTGGGGGGCAGCCCCGCCTGCGGCCCCGCCACCGCCACCAGGCTGCGGCAGCTGATCAGGAAGTTGAGCAGCGTGAAGGTGTGGCTGCCTCTCACCAGCACCAGCGACTCGGGCCTGTGATCCACCTGCACCTCGTGCTTCTCCTTGCGCCTGGGGAGCCGAGTCAAGGGAAAACCACGGCGCAGTGGGAAGAATCCACGTGGCAAAAAGCTGGAGCTGTGAGCCCCCCCACACCCCATCTGACCAAAGTCCCCAAAACCAAACCCCACCCAGCTTTGCACCCACCCAGATCTGCTCTTCAGATATTAAGCAGCATCTTAATCCTGGCTTCAAATCCTAGAAATACTTGCAAAGTGACCAAAAAGAAAATGCAGTATCTCATAACATGCAGGAACGTGAGGATTCATATTTGGAAAGCAGTTCTCAAAAACCTCTACAGAACTGAAGTGTGAACCACAGCACTGTAACAGCTGCAGGGGCACATCTGGAAGATCAAAGGAAGGATACAGTTGGATAGAAATAGTATCTGGTTTCTTCACCTTGTCTTGGACTCCCATCTCCTCAAGCCAAGAGAAGCTTCCATCATCATCATCATCACTGTGAGCTCGTTCCCTGGAGACACAGGATCAGCGTTAGGAGGGCAGTGCCACTGAGGAAGGTTTTCCAAATGGACTGTGCAGGAGCCTGGAGATGCCCTGGAATTCCAGCACTGCACAACTGTGGGAAATGGAAAGATAGAAACTTCCACAGATTCAGGAGGGTTTGATCTGCAGCCTTGCAAGGAGCTTGGATTGATGTAAAAATAAAGTACATTATTAAGTAGAATAACAGATATTAAGAACAAAGGACAGACATTAAGCAGAAAAATCATAAACTTATTTTCTACAGTTGTAAGAACATGCCTTAAGTAAGTGCAAAACTGTATTGATAAAATGGTGAAGGGTTTATAATGTAAGGGTGAGGTTGCACAGAGTAACTACGAGTTTAGGAGTTATAATAGAAGCATGTGTGTGCATGTGAGTTAGAAACCCATTGGATTAAAGTATCCACAGTGCAGCAGACGTAAGTAAAGGTGATGGGTTAGAAATGCAAAATAAACCCTGTGGCAACTGTCTATTGGGCTAGAAAGTTCTATATTGCCTTCTGACGAAGAAACTTGTGACAACTCTGAGCTATGAATGCTTGCTCCTCTAAAACCTCACGGCCTCTGAGGTGGCGTTTATCTGAGCAATGAATTAACAACGGTCCCATCCCTTTATGACAATGACACACGACTCTGTTACTCACCCCGCATCCTCCACAGCGCTGCCCCCTCCGAGCCCCTCAGCGGTCTCTGCTCCCGAGCTCTCCTCGGAGTTCTTCTGCCTCCGGGCTCGACTTTCCTCGAGCAGAGGCAAGGAGAACTCTATGCCTGGTGCGGAGGAGAGGCAGCAGTGAAGGGCGGGCGGCGCGCCAGCCCTGCCCCGTGCCCGTCCCCGCGCCCTTACCCTCGCCGCGCATGGCCTCGCGCAGGCCGCGCGTGGTGGGCGCGACGGCGGCCGTGGGCACGGCGCTGCCCGCCAGCCCCGCGGCGCGGAACAGCACCGAGAACTGCGCCGCGCACACGTAGAAATAGGGACACAGCCGGGCCCGCAGCAGGTTGTACAGGGAGGTGAAGCTCACCGACCTGCCGGGGGAACACACACACACAGCACTGGGTTGTTGTCTTACTGCCAAGGTTTTGTGCCTTCTTGGTGATGCCTCACGGGCAGCTCCTCACAGCACTGATATTATTTTGATTCTTTTACTCAGTACCAGATCCTAACAGAAATACTATATTATTTATTATATTCTATTATTTATTATATTATTATTTCTATATTATTTTATACATTATTATTTTGATTCTTTTACTCAGTACCTGATCCTAAACAGAAATACTGTATTATTTTTTATATTCTATTATTTATTATATTATTTTATACGTTAATATTTTGATTCTTTTACTCAGTACCAGATCCTAACAGAAATACTCCATTCCATTGCCTATAAAACCACATCAGAGGGCTTGCACTCATTAGTCCTTCCAACAGTATAAACTAGGAACAAATAAAAAGATAAATGATTAAAACAAAAAAGCCCTGAGCCTGATGTTCATGAAGACAAGAATTTCCATGCCAAAATGGTTATTTCATTTCATCCTCTCCTGGTGACTGTAAAGTCACATGCTGAAAAAAGCCCTGGGCACCTCCAAGTTTGTTCTCTTTTTTCTATCCTTTTAATTTAGTTTGAACTCCAGTTTCTGTACCTAGAACAATATTAGAGAATGTCTATTGAAACTGTTTCAATTTCAAGGGCTGGTTTTCAGGAATTCTTGCTTTCCTGTGCGCCTGGTGAAGTGCTCCACTTCTGTAGAAGTGGAAAACCAGACTGCAGGAGGTCTATCTGGTGAAGAACATCCTCATCTCAACTACATATAAAACTAAGAAACAGTAAAATTATAGTTAGGAAAACTGAAAGAAACAACCTCTGTCCACTGAACTGCAACAGCAGTGAGGTCAGGCAGAGGGCTGGGTTTAAGAGACTGTCACTAGAACAGGAAACGTCAATGTAAGAAATTCCCTTGAATACTGACATTTCAGTACATTCTTTTATGCAGAGATGGGCCACAAAACCCCAAGTGAAACAGTTTCAGCTTTCCCTGTGCCCTGAGGGCAGCTGGAATGGTTTCAGCAGCGGGTGCTGTTTCATACCTGGCTGAGGGCGAGGATGTCGGAACTTTCAGCAGGCTCCGCTCTCCCGGGAGGCTTCTCCTCACAGGCCGGCTCTAAAAACTGAATGAAAAAGCAGCATAAAGGCGCAGCACAAAGGAAGCACCGGGCTGACCGTTTTAAAAAGTGCCCTTCAGTGCCATTTCCCGAGTGATCCTCAGCACCCCGGGCTGCACACAAACCCCGCTCGGGGCGAGCACAGCACCCGCACCCAGCGCGGAGCAAGAGCCCGAGCCCAGCAGGGCCGCGGGGGAGGCGGCGGCGAGCCCGGGGCTGCATCGGAAAGGGGCTGAGGGCGAGGGCTGAGGGTGACGGCGATGGCTGAGGGTTCAATGAGATGGCTGAGGGCTCAGTGTGATGGCTGAGGGCGTAGGGCGATGGCTGAGGGTTCAATGAGATGGCTGAGGGCTCAATGTGATGGCTGAGGGCTCAGTGTGAGGGCTCAATGTAGGGCGATGGCTGAGGGCTGAGAGCGGAGGACCCCGCTGCCAGGGCTCGGTCCCACCTGCCAGAAGGGCGCTGCCGATGGATCCCCGCCCGCCGGGGCCGCTGCCGGAGGCTGAGGGGCGGCCGTCGCCCGCCGCGGAGCGTTGTCCAGGCTGGAGAAGGGGTTGCGGCGCCGGGCGGCCGCAGAGCCCCGCGGGGCCGGGGCAGCGGCGGCTTCCGCGCCGGCGGCGGGGTCGCTCCTCCGCGCGGGGCGTTTGCGCTTCAGCCGCAGCAGCGCCGGCGGCTTCTTGAAGCCGGGCGAGTGCCCGGGCTCGGCAGGGGCGGCCATGGCCGAGCGGGGCCCGGAGAAGCCGCGCTCCCGTCTTGGCGCCAAAGAGCGCCCGCTCCGCCCCGGGGCGGCGCTGAGGGAGCGGCGCCGCCATTGCTGCCGCCCTCAGGGGCTCTGAGGGGAGCGCGGCTCCCGCCAGCCCCGCTCCGCCCGCACGGGCCACACCAACACGGAACACAAAGACAAGGGCCGGGGGTGCGCGATGGGACACGAAACACACGGGGTTCAGCCTCTCTGGGAGAAAGAAACGAGTGTTCTACGCTGTTAGGGAGAGAAAACTACTTCCGATTACACTCATCTGTTGTACATGGAGTTCAAAAGGCATAACAAATACTAGAAAAATATTAGAAATATATGTGGTTTAAAAGGCATAAAGAGGTAGTTAGGGGCAACAATTTTACTGACAAAAGATTTAGTTAAAGAAAAACGATGTGATTAAAAGATCTTCCGTCTGCAGTTTTGTCTCTGCTTGTGCTTGGTTTTTTTAAACTTTTAGTAACTTACTTAATCTCCTTTTTTGTGGAAACATGGAAGCAAACCTGAGCAGCATCAGGGAAAACACCAACAGCTGGCTGCAAGGCTTCCCAATGGCTGTGGAGCTCCCGGAGGACTCACACGCTTCAGCCGTGCACAAAAGCACCTCTCCTTTCCCAGGCTGCATGGCAGCACACAAGGAGTCAAATCAGAGTTCCTCCTGATTTCCTAGGCCTGCCCTGCATCATTTATGCAGGACTTCCTCCAAGTGCAGTGAGTGAGGGGAGACAGATCAAGTGTGCTTCTGGATCATCGGTTTTCTCTCCAATGTTCCCACTGACACAGCTTTGAAGTGGCCATGTCCATGGTTTGAGTGATTCACAGCGAAAATGAGCAACACGGCTGAAAGAGAAAAAGTATTTTTGCTCTCGAATCACAGCGTGTAGGGAGGCACATGCTTTGAGGAAAGCAAAATGCAGTTCCTTCCCCACTTCTGACTTTCAGATGGGCCACAATAATGGATAATGCTGGAGAGACAGATCTGGGCTGTGCTGAGGTTAAAAGAGGGGAAATGCACAGCATAGGGAGATACCAAAGGTAACAAGCTACACAAAGTGCCTCAAACACCTGACTCACACAATTCCACCAGCTCAGGGATTCTTTGTTTATCAAGTTTGCTGCCTTAGTGCTGAGAGGAAGGGAAAGAGCTGGGGGAAACTCTTGCTGTCAGAACCATGTCCTTCCCATCTGGCACCCTTGCCAACCTTGATAGTTTTGCCTGTCCTTCAACTGAATAACAATTTAAAATGTGGATTGAGATCTTTAGGTCTAGCATTAGATCTCAGTGCAGTCAAAAGCAAAAGGTAACAAAAGGTAACTGCTGGTAGGGGTTGGAGACAAAAAGACTAATAAAGCAATATTTTTTCCATCTTTAATTTCTTCTGGTTGAAAACCAACAGCGACTGAGTTTGCCTGTAGATGTTTCTGACATTTTTAATTGTGGCAGGGCAGAAAAGATTTTATGTCAAGGCAGCTCCTTTAGAAGCTGCTGATGGGAACATTCTGCTCAAGGGAATCTAAAAACCCTGAAGTCATGGAAGCTTCAGAGACCATTTGAGCTGAGGTACCTCGAATGTTTAAATTCTGTTCACTGCCTGCAAGTGTACACTGATTTATTCCACAAATACATTACTTTCTCTTCTCCAGCTGAGAAATCAGAAGTTGTATGTCAGAACTGGATGACTTGTCTCTTCCTTGCTTGATTCTTCTGAACTATTTCCATAGTAACTTTGGCTTCATACAATGGGATGGGCTCATCCAGCTGAGGCCTGAAACGAAACAGTAAAAAGTGCTGGTGAGCACACTCAGACCACCAGAAATATCACAGGACAGACTTGACTTTCCCTGTGCCAGCCTCTCTCCTCAAACAAAGTAACAGCTTTATGGCTTTGCTCCAGTGCACAGAAGAAGGGAAAAGCCCCAGAGCAAAGAGGAGCCACAAGTGAATGAAAAGAGATCCTTCTTGCAGGGGGAAAATGGGGGTGGTGGGGAGGCTTCTGCTCAACAGCAGTTGTTATCCTGTTTAAGGGAAGGGATCTTCCATTCCCACCTTATTATAGGAATCTTCCTATAACTTCTTGAAGCTCTGCTCAGGAGTGTTAGTGTAGTTAGTTAGCCAGAGTTTTCTACTTCTAGTGCTGAATTAAAAAACCCACAAAAATCTCCACATCTCTCACCTGAAAATGCCATTTGATAATTTCTCCATGATATCTTCCAGGATGGGTATCCAAGAGGACTGTTAAGGAACAATAGAGCTGGACAGAAATCTTTAAATCACATGTGCTGGTCACAGCCCTGTACTGATACAAACTCAGCAAGATCAAGGCAAAATGAAAATGAGCCTCAATTCCAGGCTTTAGATCAGATTTTTGCACTTGTTTCTATATCAGAAACCTCCTTTCCTGAAATAGGATGCAGAAATGAAACATGGAATATTTGAATTATTTTAATACGAAAATCTTCAGTATTTCAATATGAAATACAAGTGCAGCCTGCACTAGTACCACGTCAATCAATCATTAATCAATGGCATTTTTTGTGCAGAGTGAAGAGAAGAGGTTTTGGGACCAGGTAGCTGTTGTGACTGTTCATACAGGCACCTGATAAAAAGCCAAAACGAAGTTGGGAACACAGCAGAGGCTGGAAATTCTTGGAGCACACTGCCATGTGAGGGGTCTGTGAGTTAAGGACCACCAGCCAAGACAGCCCAACACGTGGGGCTGTATTCAGTCTTGGTATGAAGCCCAAACAACAAGGTTCATCCTGCATTTTAAGGGCAATCAGGCTGGTACTTAAGCTCAAGTTCTTTTAAAATGGATCAATTTGTGATTTCCTCAGATGACAGTAATGCCAGATGGTCCAGAATTTCACAAGATACTAAAGTTCCTAAAGCCAAAAACACCCAAACCTTCCAGGGCTGAAAATGTCCTGCCCAGAGAGCCCAGTCCAGCTGCACCAGCCCAAATGTAGAAGATACTTCTTTTCCTGTTCCCAACCATAATTTCCCCTCCATAAATTTTAGGTAAAAAACAAATCAGTACATTTTGTGTACATAATATTTCTGTACATTACAAATAAAGGAAAAGTTAGGAAGCCAAAATATTTCCACTTTTGCAGTGAACATGAGTGCATTAAGTTTACAGGTGATGCATCTAATGCCCAAAAGCACAACTAAAAAAAAATCCAAAATGTCACTTGCATAAAATAAAAACTTACAGAATCAAATTTTCAATTAATTTATTCAATAATGAACCAAAACACTGCATTTTTTTTCCCCCCAGAATGGGTGTTTTGCAGCACTGCTTTTAATGAAGCTTGTAGAGACATTTTCAAGGCCAGGTTGGACACTGGCACAGTGGAAGGTGTCCCTGCCATGGCAGGGGTGGCACTGGGTGGGATTTGGGATCCTTCCCACCAAACCAGTCTGGGATGTATTTAAAAGGAATGCAGAAGATACCTTAAAACCTGGGTGTCTCTTGTACCTTATCTCCTCCTTTCAGCTGGGTTGCAGCACTGAGCAGAGCAGAACCTCTCAGTGGGATTTCCCACTTGTGTTTTCACTCCTTTGAGCAGTGAGAATTCCACAGCACCAGCAAAGGATATCGAGATACTTCCCCTGCTGCACATTGGACAAGTTCCAGACCTCATCGTTCAGGAAGGACACTGTGGCTCCCTTAAGGAACAAGGAATGGCTGTCTGGAGGATCCAGCTGAAGCAAATTGAAGAAAAATGTTATTTAGTTACATTAACCCTTATAAAAACAAAGGTTAAATGGTTATTTTATAGAGATGGTTGAACCAAACAAAAAACACCCCTTGCCCACTCTTAAAAGAGAATGTCAGCGTAACACTGACAGGTTGAAACAAGAGTTTTATGTGTGTGTATCTCTATTTTCTGTGGGACAAGCTCCTCCCTGCCACAGGCATCTTTACCTGCAGGTTCCTTTCCGTGGTTATCCAGCGTCCCCCGACCCCAAGCAGGGTGATGATGTCGTGCTTGTGAGGCAGCAGCTGGCATTTGGAGGCTGGTTCATCTTCAGCACTGTATAACCTCACTGGGAGGGGGAATAAAATCCTCTGAGCTCAGGAGAAATGTGGAAAATTCAGTATGTGTTTGTGTCCACACCTTTCAGTGGAACTCTATTGGTTGTTTCAGCTAAAACCCGTTGAAAAACTCTGAATTTGTTATTTTACTTATACCCTGAGTATTTTATGTACTTTACTCAGAAATATAGTTATTAATATTAAATATTTAATATTTAATATAGTTATTAATATTAAAATAATATTAATAACTATAATAGTTCTGAAATTACTATTCAGAGCAATATTTTGTTTATATTCACATTCCTAATACTATATAGTAACAATATAGACTGCAAAATAGCCTATATTATATAATATAGTATATTATACATAATATAGTATGTTATACATAATATACTATATATAAGATATAAAGTATATATAGTGTATAAAACTTAATGCACAATGTATAAAACACCTTTTATAACAACTATAAAATATAGTATATTATAGTATATAATATAGTATATTGTAGTAATAATATTATAGTATATTTAATAAAAATAATATATAATTTATAAATGATACATCTAGATACTATTATATATTTAGATACTATTATATATTTAGATACTGCTATATATAAATATATATTATCCAGCGTCCCCCGACCCCAAGCAGGGTGATGATGTCGTGCTTGTGAGGCAGCAGCTGGCATTTGGAGGCTGGTTCATCTTCAGCACTGTATAACCTCACTGGGAGGGGGAATAAAATCCTCTGAGCTCAGGAGAAATGTGGAAAATTCAGTATGTGTTTGTGTCCACACCTTTCAGTGGAACTCTATTGGTTGTTTCAGCTAAAACCCGTTGAAAAACTCTGAATTTGTTATTTTACTTATACCCTGAGTATTTTATGTACTTTACTCAGAAATATAGTTATTAATATTAAATATTTAATATTTAATATAGTTATTAATATTAAAATAATATTAATAACTATAATAGTTCTGAAATTACTATTCAGAGCAATATTTTGTTTATATTCACATTCCTAATACTATATAGTAACAATATAGACTGCAAAATAGCCTATATTATATAATATAGTATATTATACATAATATAGTATGTTATACATAATATACTATATATAAGATATAAAGTATATATAGTGTATAAAACTTAATGCACAATGTATAAAACACCTTTTATAACAACTATTAAATATAGTATATTATAGTATATAATATAGTATATTGTAGCAATAATATTATAGTATATTTAATAAAAATAATATATAATTTATAAATGATACATCTAGATACTATTATATATTTAGATACTATTATATTTAATAAAAATAATATATAATTTATAAATGATACATCTAGATACTATTATATATTTAGATACTATTATATATTTAGATACTGCTATATATAAATATATATGATCAGTATGTTATAATATATATAAATATATAACAATAGCAATATATATAATATCTAGTATAATAGTACATAATAATATTTGATTTACATAACTCTGAACAGTAACTTCAGAGGTTTCACCTATGAGAGTTGGTTTCCAGTAGAGGCTGCCAGTGCTGTTAATTAGGGTTAATTTCTGTATTCAGACAAGGCAGCAGAACCAACGCTGTCAGAGCTCCACTGTCTAGAGCCGTGCTTCCTTTCCTGCTCCAGCCGCACTGCCAGCTGGCAGCAGCGGCGGCCAGAGGAGCTGTGGAACAGCGGGATGCGATTGCCGGGGGCAGGAAGGGCTCCCGGGTACCTCCGGCATCCAGCACGATGTCCACGCCCAGCCCGCCCGTCTCCTCCAGGCAGCTCTCGGCCACGTCAATCTTCCCGTGAGACACGTCCATCACTCGGGCTGCCAGAGCAGGACAGCAGCAAAATCCACTTCAGACCCACGGAAAAGGAGTTTAGGTGCTCAAAGCTGAGAGCTCAGACCCCGAGCAGCACACTCAGTTTGTGCTCTCTGCACGTACCACAAACGGGTTTGCAGCTACACACAAAAATCTGGCACGTCTTTTTTTTTATTTTCAAAACAGTGCAAAACCAACACCAAAAAGTATGAATGAAGAAGTTAATTCATGAGTTTGTTGGCCCAAAAGGATAAAATGTGCCACTCTAAGGTTAGAAATCCTTCTCTAAGTTAATTCTTTGTAATTCTTGTCCAAATCCTGGCTCTTTGGGTCTTTAATTAATGTTTAGATGAAGGATTTACATCTGCTCTTGAAATATTGCTGAACTGAAAGCCACCAACACATTTTCCTGTCATGAATCTATGATGCCCTGTTAATGGTTGGTTATAAAGAGGATACACAGTATCAGGAATGAGAGAATCCTGGAATGGTTTGGACTGGGAGGAATCTTAAACATTATCCCATCCCACCCTGCCATGGCAGGGACACCTTCCCCTGTGCCAGGCTGCTCCAGCCCCAGTGTCCAGCCTGGCCTTGGGCACTGCCAGGGATCCAGGGGCAGCCCCAGCTGCTCTGGGAATTCCATCCCAGCCCCTGCCCACCCTGCCAGGGAACAATTCCTCATTGCCCAGATCCCACCCAGCCCTGCCCTCTGTCAGGTAAAAGCCATTTTTAATATTATAACAATAACACAGAGAAGGAGCTTTGTTTCATCATTATGAGGTAGAACAAACATTTAGAAACTAAAAAGGCCAAAGACCCCACAGCAAAATGAGAACTGAAAGAACATCAAAGAAATGTGGAGCTGGGATGTGCACTCACCCACCAAAGGCTGCCGGACTCCTGGAGTGCGATCCCAGCAGCAGGGAGGGAGGGAGGGAAGGAGAGAGGGAAGGAAAAATGCAAGGAGCTGGTCATTAAGGATATGAACAAATCATCAATAAATGCCTTGGGTTTGGTTCTTTTTGTCCCTTCAAATCCCCAATCAAATCAGAGGATGCATTCAAATCCCAAGTCATTTCCTCTTTTTTTTTTTTTCAGTGAAGTTAAATTATTTCACTGGAGAGAACACGTGGTCAAAATTTACTAAAGATAGGATAATAATTAATTATTAATGACAGCCACATTCCCCCTATGCAAATAAAGCCCCATAATATCCTTTTCTTCTTAGCTCCCTTCAGTCAAGAAATTAAAAGGTTTTCCTTACCAGGGCAATTTGACATGGTATTATTTCTGCAAATAATTTCACTTTTTGAAAATAGTTCTGCTTTCACAGACCCAAAGCCTGGCAATCAAAAAGAAAAGGCCAGAGTTCCACCAGTTTACTATTTTCTGATTTCTGTACAGCAAAAATGTTCTGCTTTGTTCCTTAACTCAGTACAATAGTTCAAACAGTACTTATCAAAATTCTGGTCAACTTCCTTCCTAAAAAATGCTGGAAAAAATCCTCACCACTGTGGAAAAGGCCAAGCAACAAACTGTAATACACCTCTCCACAATCCTTTGTCATTTATGTATTTCTCACAAAATACTGCTAAATGAGTTCAGTTCTTCTGCTGTGACTTGCACAACTTCCAAAGTAATGTTTTTCTGAGTGGCAGAACTTCAGTTTCTCTCCTCCTCTGCTGCTGGGAGGCACAGAAACACCAGGGTTCCACAGCCTCTCCCAAAGTTTGCTCTGGGGGGTTCTAACTAAGGCATCCCCCGAGAGCTCAGTGCTGGTAGAACAGAATAAAACCTCACAAAGCAAACTAAAAGAAAAGCAGGAGGTGCCCTTGGGAGCAGAGGAAATATCTGTGTATGGGTAGATACTTTTCCTTGGGTTCTCTAACAGAAACTCATCCCATTGCTTATGGAATATTCTGTCTCCAGCCTGAAACACAGGCATTAAAATGTCAAAATTTGTTAAAATCCCCTCCTTCATTCTATTATAACTTTTACTCCAGAGATTACTGAAGACAAAATAAAAGCCCCATCCCGTTGGTCTAAATACAATTCCTGAAACATTACCAGGAACTTCTACTTCAGGCACTGGAATCACACTAATTAACAAACAAATCAGAAAGTCTGAACACTTTTAAAAGCTTTTTGCTTTTGCACTCAGACTGTTTCTCTCTTTAATCCTGTACCCAGGTTCTATTTCTTTATTTGAAATAAAGTTGCAGTTATCATTTTTCCCCCTCAGCCATTCCAGGAAGCAGCTTGGTATGCTCAACAACGATAACACAAACTGCTGCTCACTGAAAACTGCCAAAAAACTAACCAAAAATCCACTGAACAAGCACAAAACTGAAAATTCTCCACCCACAAACACAAGAAGCCACTTAGAGCTTGGGCTACTTATGCTCTATTTGACATTAACATTCAAAGAACTTAAAAATGCTGTAAAAAGTAACTCAGGACTGTGAGAATAAAATTGCTAAATCTTTTCCTAGGTCATGAATTTTTCATATAATTAGCAAAGTATACCCAGAAAATGTTACAAAAGGAAGTTTTAGGTCTTCAGTATTTCCTCTTTGGCCCTGTAACAGCTGGTGCAACAAGGCTCTGCATAGCAACAGCATTCCCAAAAATCTTCCAGTTTTTCTGATGTCTGTCACGACTGCTAGTGCAGTGAAATATGTAAACACAGAGACAGTAAAAAAGGCTGCTGAAATCAGGAAAAAAAAGGAGGGTTTTTTGGGTCAAATTGCCAAAAAAAAGTGTTGCTGTCAAGCTGCAGAGAAATGAGTCTGGCAGGTGCTGCAGTGGCAGCCCTGGGGTGCTTGGTGGCAGATGGGGCTGCACAAGGCTCCCCACAAAGGCATTTTCCAGTTCTGTAACTCCAGTGAATGCCAGCAAAAACCATACTCTGAAAAATAAACCTGGCAATCACACTGCAGCACTTGGTATTTGCAGGAGGAAGTAGCAGGCACCAGTTTTAACCTTTTGCTGCAATCCAGCCAGACTGACAATCCATCCTTTATTTTAAAACTGTCTGAGTAAAGGAATATTCCACTTTCCTCCACAAAACACCTTCAAAATTTTGGTCAGAAAAGATGCCAGTAGCTCCTACACAGAGTATCTTCTCATGTTATTTTCAGAGGGGTTTTAAAACTGTCTGAGTAAAGGAATATTCCACTTTCCTCCACAAAACACCTTCAAAATTTTGGTCAGAAAACATGCCAGTAGCTCCTACACAGAATATCTTCTCATGTTATTTTCAGAGGGAAAAAAAACCCCAACCTTGAAGTATGAAAGAAAAGTCAGGGCAGAATGCAAGTGCTGTGTGTGAGGCCAAGCTCCTTTAGAAAGCAGGAGAGGCTGTGCACGTCCAGCTCCAGCTGTGGCAGCACCTGACACTTGAGAAAACCCTTGTAGGAGCAATCTGAGGCTGCTGAGTGCTGGGAGTCAGGTGTGTGAGCTCTGGCACACGCTGGGGCAGTGGTGAGTCAGCAATCCTTCCTTCCACAGCAGCCACTGCATCACATGGAAAGATTTCCTGAGCACTTAGGCCAAAAGCCAGCACTCAGCACTACTGGGAAGCACTGCCAGTCATTACAACTGAAATGGAGAATTAAAATGCTATTAGGTACACCTAAACCAGAAATTAAATACCTGTGGAGCACAGAACAAACCTGAAAACTATTTAATTAGACTATTTATCAATTTTGTGTTTAATTTTTACAGAAGTAAGTCTCTAGACCTGACAGAAAAAAAAAATATTTTGAGGCATTCTTTAGGGCAAACTTCAGCACTGAAGGATAAAACTCACCCCCAGCAGGTCTGAGCCTCTCCAGGTACTGCTTGTCCTCCAGGCTGTGGGCAGTGGAGATGACTTTGGCCCCTCTGTGTTGGGCCAGCTGAATTGCAATGGTACCAAATGGCTGAGAGGGAAAAAGCAGGTTCATTGATTAATTTATTCATTCATCTGTTTACACCGACAATTTGATGTTGTTTATAAAAATTATATTGTAAAGGACAGTCAGAAGAGTACCCAGAAATGAACTTACTCCTGCAAAAAAACCCACAGCTGAACCAAGAATTGAATATTCACACATCTGCTTCTGTCCTAAGTGAGGCCAAAACAACTCTTCAGTGGCTGGGAAGCTCTGAATGAACTTTTGGTCAGTAACTGTCATCAACAAAATAGCTCAGATTCTACTTTAATTACCACAGCCACCTACACTGCAGTTGGAACTTGGAGCTTGAAGGGAAAAAAGCTCCAAGGAAAAGGCCCCAGCCATGTTTACATTACAGAACCTTGGCTGAGGGGACTCCACATCTTCATTAGCACCAAGAACTGCAGGGATGCAAATCAAATTATTTACATCCAAGAAAATATAAAAAGCAGAGGTGGGAGAGGACTAAAAAATAAGGTATTTTCCTGTAGTTATCCCTGAGGCCTCAGGGCAAAACTGTGCCACTGCAGGCCATCAGAAAACCCTCCCTGTGTGCAGCCCCCACTCCAGGCAGGACAATATTCCTGGCCAGGATCCCACACGGGAAAGCCCTTCCTGCAAGCCCATGGAACGAAGGGCACTGCCAGCACTCCCAGAAAAGCAGGGCTGTGTGCTGAGGGAGATGTGTGCAGGGGGAATCTGTGACCCCTGCCCAGCTGCTACTCACACTTGCTCCATCCAGGACGAGGACACTTGTGCCAGGGGACACCTGGGCCAGGTAGTGCAGGGCCGTGTAGGCGCGGAGCCCGTCCCGGAGCGTCCCGGCAGCCTCTGCCCAGCACACCTTCTGTGGCTTCTGAACTGAGGGGACAAACACAAACACACCGACAAACACACCAAGGAGATGCTAAAAACCCCAGCAAAACCCCTGGGCTTATTTAGCAAAACCTGTCCCAGTGAGTCAGGAAGGCTCCACCTGTGAACAGGTCAGCACCCCTGGCTCCTGTTTCCCTCTCGTGTTAAGAAGCCATGGAGGGAATATTTTGCTGTGCTTTACATTATTAAATCAGGGATTCAATTTTGATATAACCAAGTTTAAGGGAGCCACCTCCTAACTACTCAGCTGGAATTCATGGGCAGGCACAGAAACAACACAACCCAAACTTAGATTTTTAGAATCCCAGGATGGTTTGGGTTGGAAGGACCTCAAAGCCCACCCAGTGCCACCCCTGCCATGGCAGGGACACCTTCCCCTGTGCCAGGCTGCTCCAATCCCTGTCCATCCTGGCCCTGGACACTTCCAGGGATGGGGCAGTCACAGTTTCTTTGGGAAGAGCAAATTTTGAGCAGAAGAATAGCTTGCTCAAGGTAACAAACTGTTGGAAGAAGAACAGGACTCCCACATTTAGTATCCTACTCATTAAAGTCATCTATACCCAGAAAGGGAAAACTGGAAGCTCACAATAATTGAAAACAATGTTTCAATACTAGGCTTTCCCTAACCCTCATCCCTGAAAATTCCAGTCTCCTTGTTTCACCCATCTGTTATTCTGGTGCCAGGTTAAATTCTTGGACTGAGTCAAAGGGAAGAAAGAAGCAAATTTCTCCTCATTAAATTTTTTGACAGGTTAGGAAAAAGTGAACAACAATTAAGCAACAGAGTGGGAAGTTAGAAGGGAAATAAAAGGAAAAGGAAAAAACCAGGGTCAGCTTGTGTGGTTTAGGCCATCATGAACTGTGCAATGGTGACAGCAAAGGAAAAGCCCTTGAGAGCACTGAGTGTTCAAACTCCTGTGACTTGGTGGGGCAGCTGGAATTTTGGAATGTTGGAATGGAAGGAGTGTGCCCAGAGCTCCAAGGTAATGGGCTCCCATTTAGAAAAGATAAAACAAAGTCTACAGTAAAAATTATTACATTATTAGCAAAATGTACAATCTACAAACCCAAATAATGCTCGTGAACCAGGATAACTTCACAGACACCAGACTCCTCAGAATCCAGGGGCAGAATTCCTGAAAAACAAAGGAACACAGACTTTGAATTTCACACAACCAACCAAAGCATTCTCCCAAGGAATTCCCTGCTCCTGTTTGGGTTTGGTCTCCTCTTGGCAGGTTTAGGACAGGTAGGAGACCTTGGCCAGGTCCCAGCCCGGGGTGTCCCTGGGCATGAGGAAGTTCCAGAGGTACATTGTGGGATTGAGGGAGAAAGAATGGGGACACCACTGAGTGCTGTCTGGTACTGGCAGGTGTCATTTATCTCTGGTGATGTCTGAGCTCACTGCACACTCTGAGTGCTCCCCTGCCACTCCAGGACATGGATCACAGAGCAGGGATCTGAGGCACAGAGCAGCCACCCCACAGCCTCTCCTCCTCTCCTCTCCTCTCCCCTCCTCTCCTCTCCTCTCCCCTCCTCTCCTCTCCTCTCCTCTCCTCCTTCCTGACCCTGTGCTTTGCAAAGGCAGCACCAAAGGCACAGGAAGAAGCAGAGGATGAACACACAGGAATGTGGAAGTGTTAAAAAGCAGGAAAAAGAAAGAGGAAGTGCAGGAAAAACAAACTGCCCAGGGAAGGCAGAGAAAGCAAAAGCAAAGTAGGCAGAAAAAACCCTCCATCCTGGTTATAACTGAGCTTTTTACCTTCACTGGCCACAGAACTCTCCTGAACAGGAGGTTCTGGCACCTGCTCCATCTCCTGAATTAACATCCCCTCTATCCCAGGGAAAACCATTCTTTTCTTCCCTCTCCCCCACAAATCTCACACTCCATTTAGACCAAAGGGTTTTGCCTTGCAAATTTGACTGCTGCATCCAGTCTTTCCCAGTTCCCATTAAAAATGTGCTTGTGCCCACCTGGAGCTGTCCCCAGGGTTTCTCCAGGGAATACCCAGTCTCTAGGAGCTGCCTAGAGCAGTTCTGGTGCCATGAGGGAATAATGCAAGAAGGACCACAATGCACAAACACACACTGCCCCATCACTCTCAACTCTGTCCTCCTCTAATCCTTTCATGCAGCACACAAAATATAAACATGTGGGACAGAATGGCTCTAAGAAATCACTCCTCTCTCCTAAGGCATCACTCACAATTTGGTGGCTAATACAACATCATATTTCAAATCCTAAGGGAACATTCTTAGAACAGAATTCCCATTTATAAGTTTATTCCTGTGACAGCAGTTTAATTTTGAAAATACATGGTCAATTTGGCCTTACCAATTATTCTAACCTCAGCCATTCATTATAAAAAGATGGCTATTGGTGTCAGTTGAGGCAAACAGGCATTAACTTACCCACCACTTCATCATCTGGCTGGAAAAAGGTCACCTTGCTTCCAACTCATCATGGAGAGGTGAAAAGGAGGGAGGAAGGGAAGAAGATAAATATTTACAGCAGGAATGGGATGTGCATTTAGAAGCCCTGGTTATCACCAGCTCACAAAACTAAAGATACACACTTCTTGTGAAAAAACATAATCCTATTGATTGCACACATGCCAAGCCCAAAGGCTGAATTCCCAAACTTTGGCACCTCAGGCACAAGGAGCTCCATGCAGGACACACAGGTGGTGTCTGAGAGCCAGGCTGGACTCTCCACCTCAGGGGAGTGGCACCAGCACTGGGAGAGCACCCAGGGAAGCCAAGAGCTCCTGAGTGCCCCACCCAAAGAGAGCTCTGTGTCCTGAGGGAATCCCTGCTCCCTCCCTCCCTCCCTCCCTGGGCACTGACACTCACTCACCTTCCAGCACAACTCCTGAAATTTCTCGCCCCACAGGCACAAGTTCCTTCTTCAGTTTGGTTTCTGACAGGAGCTAAATGGAAACAATGCTGACAGCATTCTTGCTAAAGCTCTGTGTTTATAAAAGTATTACCATCTCTCAGTGTGGGATCAGCACAAAAAGCTTGGGCCATTACCAAAATGTTATCCAGGGGAAGGCAGTGCACACATTCCTCAGGCAGTAATAAACCATGGCACTAATTCTGCATTTAAATTTAGAAACATATTAAAAAATAAAAGCAGGGGGTTACTACCAGCCAAGCCAACCCATGGCTTAGAGAGCAGATGAAGATAAAAGGGATTTACTGCAAGAGATCTCACAGCTGACAACTGATGTCTCCATGAATTAGGAATCAAATTCCAGATGCTTTTTAATCAGAGCTGTGCAAGAAGCCCAGCCCAGCCCTGTGCCTGTGGAAACCTTCCCTGAGGATGCCCCTGATCCCCCTACAAAGTCCTGTGCCCACTGCCAGCAGCAAAGCCACAGCCTCAGCTTGTGCCAGGCACCAGCCAAGGGCCATGGGAAGCACAGACCCCCCCAGCCCTACACAACACCCAGCACATACCTTTGTGTCCAGCCAGCTCAGGGCACAGGCTCTGACCTGCACCTTCACATCGTGGGCTCTGCAGGCAGGAAGGTTCTCCTAGGACAGATTTACAGGTGCTGTGTTACACACTGGCTGTGCCCCCAGCAGCCTCTCCAGCTCCTGAAAACACTTCTCCACTTCTTGGGTTGTTTTGTGGGGAGAGCAGGCAGGTTTTGTCAGTGAAAAGGGGTTTATAACACCATTTTGAGTACATTATTATTATTATTATTTTTAGCATTAGCATTAGGATTACTTTACAGGTGCTGTGTTACACACTGGCTGTGCCCCCAGCAGCCTCTCCAGCTCCTGAAAACACTTCTCCACTTCTTGGGTTGTTTTGTGGGGAGAGCAGGCAGGTTTTGTCAGTGAAAAGGGGTTTACAACACCATTTTGAGTACATTATTATTATTATTATTATTAGCATTAGGGTTAGCATTATATTATTACATTATTATATTATTATATTATTATTATTGCAAACTGGTCACTAGACCTTACTTATCATTATTATTATGTTACCATATTATGATATTATTACTGCAAACAGACCACTAGGCCTTACTAAACCTCTTCAGCCACTGACATTATTTTTCTCTTGAGGTTTTTTTCATTTATCTGAGCCACAAATCCTGACAGACCCACTGAGGTCAACATTCAAGTCCAAAGTGAAGTCCAAATGATGTCAAAGGAATAAGCCCAGTAAGAACTGGTGTTCTCACCCCAAACCTGATAGATTCCTCAAGCTCCATTTCTAATTTTTCAGGGACTAGAAAATTCAGCCAGGAAATGTGGACCCAGGGTTTATTTTTCATGCTTTCAAAGCTTGTTTGTAAAGTCTGGACACCAAAAGTGCAGAGCAGTGGTCTTGGAAGTGCTGCCTGATGACAAAATGCACCTCCCCTCCCTTCCTCCCCCTGCCTGTGTGTGCAAGGATCCTACCAGTCCTTCCCCAAGCCTGCACAAGATTTCTGTGCCTCAATTCCCCCCTGGCACTCAGCCAAACTCTCCTGTCCCACTGCCTGATGGACAGAGCAGTTCTGAAGGGAACTCACTCTTTCCTGGAACACAAATGTCATCTCCTCTCCAGGAGAATTCTGCTGAGCATACAGGGCCTTCATAGTGACCTGAAAAACACAGCAACCAAGCTGTGACATCTGCAGTGCCTGGGGGCAAACAAGATTAAATTAAATTAAATTAAACCACTCTACAAGAAATACAGCCACTGTTTGCAGGCAATTTCAGTCTTTGTGATACAGAAGCTCTAAACCAGATCAGCAGGTTTAGATGCCCATAAGAAAGAAAATTCACAGGACTGAGAATCACAGAATCCCAGACAGGTTTGGGTTGGAAGAGGCCTCAAATCCCACCCGGGGTTTATTGTGCCCCGGGCAGTGCAGGGCTCTTCGCCACCCAGCCACACAACTCACAGCGGGGCAGTGCACAGGGAACACGGGGAACTCCTGGGCAGGAATACAGCGAAACTCACACGTGACTTCAGCAAAAATCACCGCTTGGCTTTCTCCTCTCCTCTCCTCTCCCGACTCAGCCCGTGTCGTCCTCAACGCACACGAACCTTTAGAAAGGGGGGAAAAAAAAAATAAAAAACCAAACAACCAATCAGTAAAATTGAGTTAACAAGGAAAAAGGAAAGGAGGGGGTAGAGAGGCAGGAAATCATGGGACCATTTCTGCAGCTCTAACCCCTGAGGGACCACCCGAGGCCCCGCACGTCGGGCCCGTGCCCGCCCCGCCACCCCCGGGGAGCCCTCAGGGGCTCCGAGCGAACCCGGCCCGCACCCAGAGGCTCCAGCAGCCCCGGGGAGCCCTCAGGGGCTCCGAGCGAACCCGGCCCGCACCCAGAGGCTCCAGCAGCCCCGGGGAGCCCTCAGGGGCTCCGAGCGAACCCGGCCCGCACCCAGAGGCTCCAGCAGCCCGCGCCGGCCCTCAGGGGCTCCGCGGGACTCCCGAGCGCCGCGACGCGCCCGCGGTTGCCATGACACTCCTTCACTTCCGCTTCGCCTTCAGGCACCGCCCCCCCGCCTTTCAACCAATCACAGCCTCCAGCGGCACGGTGAACATTCGCGATTGGTCAAAGTGGCCGCCATTCATCAGGAAAGCCGAGGGGCGATTGGGCCAGTGCGGATGTCAGTCATTCAATGAGGAGAGGAGGGAGGATACGGCGCCCGGCGCGACCGCTGGGACATCGGCAGGGAGAGGGAGGAGACGCCACCTGCGGTTGCCTCATGAGTTAACCCCGTATGCACAGCGCAGGCCCCTCACCGCTCCCCGAGCGCTGACCCCTCAGCCTGGCACGGCCGTGATTGGTCGGGGAGGAGGGGCTCTGCCGCTGCTCAGGTCTCTGATTGGTGCAGCGCCCCGCTCGTCACGCGGGGGCGGGCGAAGGCCGCGCGTCAGAGCGGGCCTGTCAGAGTCCTGATTGGCCGAGGTGGGCGGGGCACCGCCGCTTTCCCTGGCTCTGATTGGTGAGACGACCTGTCCGTCAGGCGGGGGCCGCGGCCTCGCGTCAGTACGGCGGCCGCGAGGGGCTCCTCCCCCCTCCCCTCAGACGGGGCGAGGGCGGCGATGGCGCGTCCGGCGGAGGCGGCTGCGGGCGCCGCTCCGGCCCCTCCGGCCCCTCGGTGCCCTGGCCGCGGCCGGGGCTGTGAGTAGGGCCCGCACAGACATGAGGTACGGCCCGGCGGGACGGGGGGCAGCGGGGGGCGCGGGCTGCGGGCGGCGGCGGTTCAGCCCAGGCCGGCGGGGGGGCAGCGCCGCCTCAGCCCCTCACGGTGCCCGGGCGTGCCGCGGTGCCAGGGCCCGCGTCCTCCTGCTCGCCTCCCGCGGCAGCCGGGGCGGGCGGTGAGTGATGCTGGGGCCGGCCGCCCTGTGCCGTTCCCGTAACGTGCGGCGGTACCGCCGCGGGGATCCTGGCGCTGGAATCACCTCGGTCCCGCTGCCTCCGGCCGCCGCTCCCCGCGCCCGCTGCGCCCTGGGCGGGGGAGGGAGGAGAGCCCTGCGCCGGCAGTGCCGTTCCCGAGGAGCCGCAGCCCTTGGGAGTGCCGTCCCTTCGGGCTCGGCAAAGGGCACCGGGGAGCGAGGGAATGTTGTCGGGATGTCAGGGGAAGGAAGCCGGTCCGTGGATGGGGTTGTGTCCCTGTGTGTGCCCCTGCCTCGGCTGAGCAGGCAATTGTGGATGGTGTTCCCTGTGCATATCTTTTGTTCTGGTTCAGCTGCTGCTTTATTTGGGGTGAATATGCTTGTAGAAAACAGTATTTTCTCTGAATTCTGTCTTTCTCTGCCGCATGTAGGGAAAACACTTACATGGCTCGTGAGAGAGTATTGTTTAATAAATAATTAGTAAACCAACCGGCATTCCAGGTGGGATAACGTGGCCCTCGTGAAAACAAGAAACACTCTGTCCTCCTCTACCTCTCCCCACTGCCCTGTTCCAAAGTACTTTTTGTTTGGAGCTTATATGGCAATAGATATTTAAGGCAATAGCTGTGGATATAAACTGAATATATATTGAGTCAAGCTCCAAATGGATGCACCTTCTTAATTCAAAAAGCCAAACAGTATATTGGGTGTTGATGGCTCTGCAGTGTTATTTCACACCGTCTTTCCTTCTTTTACCTTTTGTTGTAGTCACCTGTAACTTCCCTTGCTGGATATGACCTGGTGATGTTCTCACCCAGGAAACTTCCTTAGGAATCAGGGAGTGGCTGGGGCTGGGCCAGGAGGGATTTAGGGTGGATTTTAGGGAAAGGCTCTTCCCCAGAGGCTGCTGGCACTGCCCAGGCTGCCCAGGGAATGGGCACGGCCCCGAGGCTGCCAGAGCTCCAGGAGCCTTTGGCCAGCGCTGCCAGGGATGCCCAGGCTGGGGTTGGGGGGCTCTGGGCAGGGCAGGGGTGGCACTGGGGGATCCCTGGGGGTCCCCTTCAGCTCAGGACATTCCATGCTCCTGTGATAGTTTATACCAGTGAACTGATACCAAATTCTCCTCTCTCTGTTAGATTTTCCCCCAGAGCCCTGTGGGAGGTGTGGGAGGGGCAGTCTTGCCTGGCTCTGTGTGCCCATGCCCGGCTGCAGCAGGGGGTGCCCGCCTGTGGATGTGAGCAGGTGTCACAGGTAGAGAAACCAGCTGCATTTTCTGTTCCCTCAGAGCTCAGGGCTGTAAATCCAGCAGGCTCAGACAGCCCAGGCTGTGTGCTCAGCCCTGGAGTGCCCTCCCTGGCTGTGGCAGCCTGGCAGGGGTCTGCTCAGCCCCAGAGTGCCCTCCCTGGCTGTGGCAGCCTGGCAGGGGTCTGCTCAGCCCCGGAGTGCCCTCCCTGGCTGTGGCAGGGTTCTGTTTCGTGCAGACGAGTTTCTGAACAGTTTCTGCAGTGTCTGAGGCTCAGGCTTCCCCGGAGCTGAGTGGGCTGCACCCTGCACTTGCTGCTTCACAAACCACACTCCATTCTTTCAGCTCCTGTGTTCCCTCTGTGGTATCCCTCTGCCTTTCATTCCACATAAGGTCCTTTGCAGAGTGGCTGTGTTTGCTTGAGAATTTTCCATGGTGTCCTGGTTCCTAGATAAAGTAAGGATTGGGGTCTCAGAGCCATGAGCTGCAGTGCCTGTTCCCTCTCTCGCTGCTCTTTGGTGGCCTTTCCTTAATGCCTCTAATCCTGCAATTAGGATAGATTTGGATTCAGGAAAGAATGTGAATCTAGCAATGAAATGTTTCTGAATCATGACGTTGGATAGCCTTTTATGGCCTGTCTTTGTACTGTAATCAGGGATTGTAATTTTAGCTTTTAGGAACCCGACACCAGGGAGAAGAGGAATAGAGGAATAAAGGAAAAAAGGAAAATACAAGCAATGGGTTAAGGACCAGGGAGATCAGCGGGTGGAAGTTTTCTGTAAGAAACTCTTCCCTGAGAGGGTGGGGAGGCCCCTGGATCCCTGGCAGTGCCCAAGGCCAGGCTGGACACTGGGGCTGGAGCAGCCTGGCACAGGGGAAGGTGTCCCTGCCATGGCAGGGTGGGGATGAAAGGAGCTGTGACATCCCTCCCAGCCCAACCCTGTGTTAGAATCACACCTGCTGGGAGTGGCACTCCAGGTTTTCCAGCCTCCCTCTGGGATCCTGCAGATCTCCTTGGGGGGAAAAAGAACTTTTAGTCTTTTCTGACAGCACCTCTAGGTCTCTCTGTTTGAGCCCTTCGAACCAGTGTAAGAGAGAAATGTTTAAATGTTGCTGGTTTTGTGTTTGCAAAAGAGCCCCCACCCATCCTGGGGGAAAGGAGAAGAGGCCTCTCTTGTTTTCAGCCTGATGCTCCTCCTGCCAAGCACACACGGACTTTTTGTTCCTTGCCCTCCCAGCTGAACTGTGGAAGGGAGATCCAACCTTGGCTGCTGGGCAGGGAATTCAGCTGTGTCTGTGCAGCCTGAACAGCCTCAGCTGCCCAGCTAGCTGAGCCTGGGGAAAGGCAGCTGCACATTCAGCTTCCAAAGGTCAGCCTGAGTTTGGGAGGGCTCTCTCCGTGGCAATCTTTATATTGTGGTACAATTTAACACTCTGCTTGTGTGTTGGGAACTTGCTGCCTGTTTCTTAAGTGTTCACAAGACTGATCTGAAAACTGAAGATACAGTCGAGCTGATTTTGTGTTAATCACAAATTAAATACAAAACTATGTTAATCATGTCTTTATGGTGATAAAGCCTTTTACTGTAACTGCAAAAATATATTTTTAAAATTTATATTATGATTTCTGATTCCCAGGCACCTGGTTGTGGGCTGGCCTTTGAATTGCAAGGTGCAATATTTAATGGTTTTTAAGTAAGTTTTGCACGTGGCCTTCAGGTGTGGACAGGTTGTGTGGGGATTCCTGTGCTTTTGGTGAGGGGGTGCAGCCAGAAGCTGTTACCCAGTGCAAGTTCTTATAACTTCATAATTCTTCAGGGTATTTTGGGGAAATACAGTTAGATCTTACAGAGAATCATAAAAGCTGACAGCTTGAGAGCTGTGTTTTGTAATAAAATGCCAGTAATCTGGTCATGTACCAAATGGGATGATGTAATCATTGAATTTCTTGAGCAAAAATCCTGACATTTTCCTTTGAGTCACATGTGAGCCCCAGCTGGATGAACTCAGCTCTCTGGAGCTCTCAGACAGACAGGCTCCTGTGTAGGGTTGGTGCTTGGCTGTTTTGCATGGACATTTGGTGTAATTCAATTTTTTAGAGGCAGTTCTCTGCCCTGCACCTTTGCTGCAGCTGCTGCCTGTGCCTGTGGTTGCTTTCCCAGCTCCCTGCCTGCAGCCATCCCCATTCTTACCTGTTCTTTTTTTCTCCCTTTTGTCCTGTATTTCTTCATTGTAATGGTCTCATGAGTTTCAGCATTATCTGAAGGCTGGCAGGTTTTCTCTCCCTCTTACCCTTTGTATTTTGATGTTCGTGGGTTTTATTCTGTTGGGGATTGTAAGGGCCAATCCCAACCAGGAAAAGCTTTGTACCTGGAACTGGGTTGTAGAGAGATTTGAAATACTTTAAAAATTTTCTTCCTTGTTAACACCTCTATTCTTCTGTGTGGGCTTGGGTTGCAAACAACAGAATAAGCATCAAAGAGAAGAGGGCAGATTTTTTTGTTGGAATAAAGTAGTGTGGCATGAAGTTACTGTGGGTGTTCAGGGAAGTACTACATTTAAAAGCAGACATGTAACAAGGTTTTCCCCTGTTCTTTCTTTTCCAACTGCTCCTTATAGTTTTTGGGGGGTTTTTTTTGGGTTTTTTTTTTTTTTCAATGTTCTGGTTTGTAAAATTTCTATTCAGAGGAAGAGTTCAAAGCATAAAAGTGTTAAAATATGTTTTCACAAAAGGTCATCTATACTTAAATTCATGGCAGGACATTGTGGATTTTTGAAGTGTCTAAGGACAAAGTTTGGAAGCAGCCTTTATCCAACTTGGAAGCTTCTGCCTGTTCTGCTGTTCTGTTCTTAAACCACACTGATATAATGTGCTTATTGAAGAACAAACAGCAACCTGCTATTTAACACAATGCATGGATTTTATGAAGTGTGACTGAAATCTAGTTTTTTGTGGATATTTGCTGCTGAGAAATGAAGCTGCTTCAAGGAAATGTTGTCAAATAACGCTGGCATGGCCAGAGGAGGAAGGCAAATGCAGTTCATTCTTTGGGTGGTGTAGCACTCGGTGCTGTGTGGGCATTACTGAGCAGCTCCAGCTGGCTGTGCCCAGCAATCTCTGCCTTCATTGGGGTCAGGGAGTCTGTCAGGGCTGGAAATTCCCGTGGGCCCAGAGCCCTTCAGATGGCTTTGGTGGGACCAGAGGGGATGTTGGGCTTGTGATGAGGAGATCCTTAACTGACGTGGGACTGAACCAGATTGATCCTCCTGTTTGGAGCTTCCTGATCTCTGACCCCAACCTGCTGAGCTGACAGGAAGCTGAGGTGTTATCCATGCTCAGAACATGCTTCCTTATCACAGCTGTTATCAGAGAGATCTGAATGGGGCTGAAGCTTGTGCAGCATTTTCACTTTACCAGCTCCATGCTTTTTTTAGGTTGTTTAGTCATCCTTTTTGCAGAGTCAGAAGTGAAGGATGACCCGTAAATCCCAGAGCTCTGCGCGGTGACTGGAAAGCTCTTGTGACACAGGAATAGGAAGTTCTCCAGCTGCAGTCTGGCAGGATTGTC